TTGTGTGAACATGTTTGCCCCGTGTCACCTCCCTCGGACAAGCAAAAAAGCTGGGGCGACCGCAGAGCATGTGGAAAATAATAAACGGCTCAAATATAAGAGTCTTTCCTCCAACTTCGATTTTGTTCTCTTTGGAGTAGAGACTCATGGGCCGTGGGGTTCAAGTGCACAGGCGCTTATTAAAGATTTAAGTTGCCGCTTGGTAGATAGTACCAGTGTTCCCAGAGCTGGTGGTATCGCAATACAGCGAAGAAATGCTGCCAGCGTTAAAGGTACACACGAAGCAAACTTTTTAAATTTGTTTTAATTTTGTTTTTATTAGGTTTTAATTATTTTCATTATTACTTATGTATGTTAAGAAAATTGTAAATAATTTGATTGTTATGATTACTAGTAAACAAGATCATACAACATACTTATATACAAATAATAAAACAAGGAACTTAAATATTATCCTAAGACTTTATAAATACTATTAGTAGTAATATAATATGCCTAATTTAACTTCCTGTTCTATGAATTCCATTGCATAGATAAAATTAAATAATGATATCGCGCGAGCCGGAGCTGCACCACGAGGGTGGATTTAATATATATGTACATATGACAGTTTCGAGTCCTGAATTAATCCTATATAGCGCTTATTCATGCCGTGTTTCTAAGTGGAACTACTCGTACCATAAGGAAATATACACCAAAGCGTATTTATTATTGTTATACAGTAGAATTTTTTATCGAAATAAAATCAAAAACTAAATCAAATCGACCACCAAATCAAATCTAATATAAAGTCGAGAGATAACACGCGTTTATGTTTATTTCGTTTCGTATATTGACGAGGAAATAGTACAACTATTACCTATTGATATCAATCGTTGGTAACAATGAATAAAAATCTAATTTGTAGGCAACTCAACGCTAGTAAACATTACTTTTTATGATCCAATGTCTATTTGTGATAATAATACGTCCATATGATTCAAGATTGTCATCAAAGGGAAGAATGTATCAAGTATTAAGATAAAAGATAATTTTAATATTTCTTTTATTATGTTGAATAACAAAGAATGTAATGCGTATCGTTATAAATAATTTAAATATAAATGTATTAAAGATTTACCTACATCATTACTTATTATATAATTACGTGCTAACTTTTTGTATAAAAATATTTTTAATATACCTACCATATCGAAATAAATTGTTTTCCTCTTCTTTAGAATGAATACTTTGTTGTTTCGTTTTTATTTTCGTCAGAGTAAATATAAATTTGACAGACAGAATTAATATTTAATAAGCCATTTTCAACTTGTTTTACTTAAAAAATACTAAATTCTACAAGGCTTCGTGACTAATTAAAAATAAATATTATATTATCCCACTATCAAAAGCCACTAACAATACATCTTTTGTGATAAGATTCCAAAATGGATAAAATTACTTCTAGAAAAATCTGTTTGTTTAGTTCCTTGTAGATAGGAGTATGTTATTTTTTTTACTTTTTGGCAACAGCTTCAACTTTATGCCAGTTTCAAGTAAAAGGTTGGGAAACTACACGCGGAAAAAAATAAACAAAGACATCAAAAGGAAATAAAGGGATAAGCTGGTTAAAAACAAAATATGTACATAAACATATTACATCTTAATATTATTATAGATTATGAAAGAAGATAATACATTATAATACAATAAAGGATAAAGCAAAAGGCAGGAGATTTTAGTCGGAAACGGAACATGAAGTGATTGTAAAGAATTCAGAAAGGAGGTACGGTCATATTGGGAACAAGAAAAGAAAATATGGTCGAGGTCACCAATATCTTCTCCACACTCACAAATATTACTATCAACAATACGAAGCCTTGCTAAATGATGAGGTGTACAAACATGTCCTAAACGCATTCTGGAAATGATAGAAGTGACAGTTTTAGAACTTTTAACCTCAAAGAACCATGGTCTACTGGGGATCCTAGGTTGAATTTCAGCATAATGTTTGCCTTTGAACTTGCTGCTTCTCAACCAAACATGCTTCCATGACTCCCAAAGATGGGTTTTCGGAAGAGCAGCTGAATCATGACAATAATTAATGTATGGGACTATGTCTCCATCCTTTATAGCTTCTTTAGCAAGCTCATCGGCTTTCTGAGTATGTTATTATTCTTATCAAACAGTCAATACCAGCCTGTTTTAATCTAAAAAAAATATAATTGATGAATCACAGATAACATTTACAAGCTTTGTAGTTAAGATTAAATAAGTTTACCACAGATTCTATCGGCAGCTATGAAAGCAAGGGCGGAACCTAGCGAGAAGAAGCAAATCATATGTTAAGTTGCAGCTCTAGATGTTTGTGGTGTGAAAGAAAACATCTTCCGCATTTATACTTTATATAGGGTGTCTCAGTAAGAGTGCACTTTTTCATTTTTAAATAAAGACAAGTATTTTATGACAGAGTTCTGATATTTTTATTGTATTGTAAAGAAGACATTGGTAACCTGAAAATTAAGGACAGTGAACTAAACTTTGTTGACAAAACTGTTTTTCTAGGCATAACAATAGATAGTAAACTCCAATGGGGCCCACACATAGAGACTCTTTCGAATAGGCTGAGCTCTGCAGCATATGCAGTAAAGAAAATCCGACAGTTTACTGATGAGGACACGGCTAAAATTGTGTACCATAGCTACTTTCATAGCGTTATGTCGTACGGCATTTTACTGTGGGGTGCTGCTGCAGAGGTTCAATCCATATTTGTGCTGCAGAAGCGGGCTGTTCGGGGTATTTGTTGTGTTTCTCCGAGGGAGTCGGTACGGAATAAGTTTAAGGAATTAAATATTATGACACTATCTGGTCAATATATTCTTGAAGCCTTGTTGTATGTCCAAAAAAATATAAACGATTTTAAAACAAATGGTGACTTTCACCAGTATAATACGCGAAATAGAACTAATTTGAGTGTACGACCAACCAGGCTCCAAAAGATAAACCACTCCTTATATGGAAATTGTATTCGTTTTTACAACAAGCTCCCAAGCGAAATTAGAGAATTATCACTAAATAAATTCAAAGCCCTCGTTAAACGAAAATTAATCAACAAAGCTTTTTATAAATTTGAGGACTACTTAAATGATCCTAATCCTTGGGATTGAATTGCTCCAGTTCAAACAATTTGTATGACAATACTTGGCGATTAAAAAGAGTGGCGGAAAGTTTCTTGCCAGTTCTTCTTACCCGCTCTACGCCCTTGACTTGCGAACTGGTAGTAAATGTAAATTTACGATTAATTTAACTTGACGATTCAAAAGTGTACTTGGTTACCTACTTGAATAAAGATATTTTGAGTTTGAGTTTGAGTTTGACATGTTCCGATTAAGTATGGAATAAAATATCCGGCAAATGACCTCCACGGCTCCGATGACAGGCCTTACACTTTTCATTAAATTTTCCATGACTTTTGCACAAAGATGTGGCTGTATCTCACCGATGACGCGTTGGATTTCCGATTTCAGCTCAGGAATGCTTTCGGATATATTAGCATAAACTCGAGATTTCACAAAACCCCAAACAAAAAATCGCACGGCGTTAAATCGCACGATCTTGGTGGCCAGTTGACATCAGAATTTCGTGAGATAATGTGTTCTGTTCATCGGAGAAAATGACTTTTTTCGAAAAATTGGCATCGACGTCCCTTTGCTCCATTACTCATTGAGCAAATTGCCGGTGCTTTCCTTGGTCTGCTAGTTTGAGCTCCTGAGTTAACTGAATCTTGTACGCATGAAGGTATTTAGTCAAAATTTGCTGCATCGAATTGATGTTTTCGGGTATTCGGCGACACTCTCGTTTACAGCAACAATGTTTTCAAGGGACAGACCGGAACGCTGTCTGTCTGTGAACGATTATCCATAATTGACCCAGTTTCTTAAAATTTTTTGACCGCTCTTCGAATGGTTGACACATTAGGTGCACTTTCTCGGCTGAAAATTTGGTGAATTTTGCGTGTTTTCATCGTTACTTTTGTAATGAATTTTCACAATAATAACGAGTTGTTCTTTCAAAAAGCGCACCATTTTTAATAATCGGAGTAAACAGAGGTGACACCTGTCAAATTTCAGAGTTGTCACTTGCAGGAAAACAAAAATATTACAATTTTAAAAAGTGCACTCTTACTGAGACACCCTATACATTGTATGTATGTTAACAATATAAACTCTAATTAAGTGTTCGATGTCATTATGACAATTAACTATTTTTGCTGGTCTATAGAAAAAATGGTTAACGATTGAAAAATGTTGCTTATCGTATAACGATTGAATTCTTATACCAAATACAATCGATTTTATTGAAAAGATAATCCAACAAAAGAGTTGTTTTAATTGATCTACCTATTTAATAGCTTTAAACGAGTTGGGCAGGTATGACTTACCGGAAGCCTATTATGAACTATTACGAACGTTCGACGGTACCTTCATTTGTAAAATGAAATGAACATTTGTAAAATCAAATGCGGCTTTAATCTAAAGACAACTTTATTAATATTTCATTAAAAATAGTATTTGTATTTTTTATTAATAATAAATAGATTACATTCTGTCATACCTACCTACTAAGTTACTAAGTACTACTGACAAATTATATTGAATGCTAGTTTAACTAATAAATATTGATACTTTTTTATTTTATTTTTCGTATACATGTTCTTAAATAGGAAGAAGTTGGTGTGGTGGAAACACAAACTGGACACAGTTAAATTATCTGAACAATGGTGACTCGGCTACAAAAGTGAATATTGACGACTGATTTAAGAATGGCCTTTCACTGATAAGTCTATCATTCATCATGTCATCTATATATTTTACCTCTCAGCCCACACACACACATTGTTTAGGTACAAGTATGCACTGCCTGCTTGTTGTTAGGTCAACCCCCACATAATAAGGACAACAGTAACCCAATTCCCCATAAATAAAAATAAAAGTCTAAACTCTTATAATATTTATTTAATTCTATAATAGTCCTTCCATTTCCTTCATGAACTGCATATAAGCGTCATCTTTGGTTGGCACTTGTTTTGGCATTTCAGTCCTATGTATTGTCGCCTTAAGCTCGGTCTTCGTCCTTTTATCTTCACGTTTGACACGCAACGCTGAAGGCACAAATCGCGTGACGTCCGCTGATAAATTCCGGATTTGGGGCTTCGCACTTATTGTTGCACCTGGAAGAAGATATGAAATAATATATAGAGAAAAATACCTAAATTAATTAATGGTTTTTTTTTAGTTGAGTTTTGTGTCCAACATGACCTATGAGACAGCTATATGTGCTCATCCAAGGTACAGGATGTTCACAAATTTCAAATCAAAATTAAAATTTGTGTTCAAAAATGTGATTTAGGGCGATCTACGAGTTCCGTGTATCAAAATCAATACATTTCTGACGTACGGGAGTCAGACTTTGTGCTAAGTTTCGTTTCTGAGTACCCTTAGGGTCAATAAATTTTTCTTTATAAAATTACAATATCATTTTATATTTGCAAGTTCACTAGTGTACTAATCCTAACTAATCATGATTTGCAGTTGAACATGTCACTTAAACAATGAGAATGTCGAACTTAGACGGTCAATTATAATATAGTGCAATAACAGACACCAAATATTTTTATCCTATATCTAACTAGGTATATTTATATATTAACACTTCGTTGCATACTATATAAGTTATCAAATAAAAACAATGTTAATAATTGTGGTCAACAATTATTCCCATATCCGTGGTTCACAAACCGACAACCGATTGTAAAAAATGAAAATTACTACAAAAATATAAAATTTAACAATACTATTTTCCTCATAACATTTTAATAATTTAATTAATTGTTAACTTTGCGCATTTTTCATAAGACTAACGAATAATTTTTGCATTGAAAAGATTGTAAGTCAATTGACGTGATGACGTTCCGGATGCTTATATTATTTATGACATTAGGTCTAATACTTACTTTGTGGCGCATCCTTCTTCTGAATCAATTGTGGGGCAGCCGTCAGTACTGATACATGTGGTGGTGGGGGCACTAACGGTCTCATGAGTCGCGGAGGCGCACCGGGGGGGAGGCCCAGGGGGACGTAACGGCCGACCGGGTAGACCGGGTGGGGGTCCAGGGGGCATCACAAGTGGCAGACCGGGGGGCGCTGGAGGCACCCCAGGTGGGACACCAGGAGGTGCACCGGGGGGCACTCGAAGCATTGGTGGACGTAGACCTGAAATAGTCGTTTTGAATTAATAATTATTAATAAGAAAGAAAAATATATTTTTTAGTCCAAAATAAAATTAGTATTAATTTGAAGAGCTTTAAACCAATAAATAAAATTTATATAATCTCATTCGGTAATATTCTAATTATGAAATGAAATACAGACTTTTATTGGCATATTTTATTTACATACTTCTTTAAGAAAATTAAAAAATTAAATTAAAGCACTATTCTCCTAGAAAACAACGCTTTAAAATATTTTTTTAATTAATAAAGTACAATGTGTCCCGACCAAGGAGTTGGGGATCTGTGATGAGCGCGCTGGTTCCGGGCCAATAGACCAATAACAGACTTTTTCCATTTTGGCGCTATTTCGTACATACGAATTTGAGTAATATTTTGTTGGATAAAACTTTAGTAGTAAAAATGTCAAGCAACACCGACGATAAAAATGAAAATTTAATTCCACCTGACGGCTACGAAACTTGACCAATAAGTATGCAACTGCATATAACCAGTAGTGTATGCAACTGCATATAATTAGGTATTAAAACACTCGTGTAATCTTATTTTAATAATAATTTTCATGTTTTGATATCCTCTATTATATAACAGTTGCATAAACTACTAATAGAATTTAATGTACCATTTTATACTTAATTTTAGGATTGCCCATATTAACCGTAGGGGAACTTTAAGTACAAAAAGCCAAGATAATAGTTCTCTTTTTTTTAATTATTACATTACTTATTTCTCTATAAGCAGAGCAGTGTTGGTCAACCCTAAGGTCGTGCGTTCAATTCACGGCTGGATTAAAGGTTTTTATTTCTGAGAGCTGTTGCAGCGCTCATGACGAGATCGTGACTTGAGATATGAATTAGAATATAGACCTTAGACCCATAAATCTGAAGAATTAAGAATACAAAGTTCTGTCCAGACTTAGGCGGTGGTAGCGCCAATTTTGATCTGGATCGTAAATTTACAGGAAGCCGTACCTGGCATTAACGGTGGAGGAATCATGGGCCGTACTTCTACCCCTGGTGGCTCCACGTCGACTGAGTTCTCGGGCTCACTGTCAGAGTCACTATCGCGACCACCTTTAGTCCGCTTAAGTGCACTCAAACTGTAAAAAAAATTACAAACTCAACATAAAAAAAATTCTAAATAAAAAGTTAATAATTAGTTCACGTAACTGTTGCTTGTAAACGGTACCTCAGTACTAAAAGAAAAAAAAACTCCTTTGTTTTTAATCGACTTATAGTATATTTTTTAAGTCCTTGTAGCATAATTTTTTTTTTCTTTGGCAATAGTTTTCACTTTATGCCAGTCTCAAGTAAAAGGTAGGGAAACTAAACGCGAGAAATAATAAACAAAGTCATCAAAAAAAACAAAGGGATAAGCATATTAAATCTTAATTGATTATGAAACCATTATCTTTGTGTCGACTTATAACTACTGAATTCATTGGTAAAATTCAGAAAAAGAAAACTGCCATAATGAGAGAAAATTAAAATTAATAGGGATCAAATAATTTCTCATTTAAAACCCCAAAATAATCAGTCTCTAGACCACGAGGGCGGTTGTATCAAAAGAGCAGCATGCCTTTACGTGCTTTCCAGACCCCGAGGATATTCCAGCACCAGAAAATAACCTAATACATGCAAATATTTTATTAAAAATTTATTGTTTAAAACGCGTTTTTTTTAATGTACATACCGTGCATTCAAATCCGCAGCTCTGTCCCTCTCTCTCTTTCGGTGAACCTCTTCCATCTCTTTCATAAAGTCGTCTATATTCTGCCCAGAGAGAGCCAACATTCGTTGCTGTAGTGATGTGGGCTTTGGAGCAGCCGCAGCGCCGGGGGCTCCAGGGACCCCAGGGGCATCAGCGATACCAGTAGCGTTTTGGGCACCTGGAGGGATTGGGCTGGGTGGACTATCCTCATCCATTGCTTCACCGTCGACATCTTCCGTCTGTCGTTTTTGTATTAACTATATAACCAAATAGTTTAATGAATTTATTAAAATATGGCAACTAAGCAACCTTTTTTATAATACGGGACCAATACAAGAAGAGAGTAGTTAATGCTGCGTCGATGATTGATAAATGTTTGGTTAGGTATTTTTTGGTTAGACAATCTCCATATCCTCTATGTCAAACTCCCTAAAACATTGAAATTACTCACCTTTGTTCGTTTGGTAGTAAAAATACTTATTTGGTTAAAATTAAGGATACATCCGATACGCATATATCGGCGATAATTTGGGTTTGCCGATATATCGGCAAATATATAGTTAATAAAAATACTACTTAAAAATATACTTTTCAAATTTCGCGCTTTAAAAAAGTAATGTAAACGCGCATGTTGTTTGATCTAGTTCGTTGCAAACGAGGTACGGACTATCTATGCCCGGGGATTCCCGCGTTTTATTCAGTTTGTTGTCTCTCTCACTCGCTTTGTCTCCGCGTATTCCATTTCGCATTTAATTGGCTTTTAACTGCTATTGCGCGTAGTATTTGTTCCATACCAAATTAAATACAGAATTACAAACATTTTATCAATGTTAATTTTAATTATTAACAGTTATTTATTTTATTTTAATATAATTATTACTCTAAATTATTAATTTTATTATCTAGACCTTTAATCTTATTCAAAGTTTGTCACTGTTTATATTTATTTTTATTTTTTATTAATATTTATTAAAAACTTTAACCAAACTTGATATATTTTTATAATTTAAGTTCAATTCAATAAGCGTTGGTATCGGTATCGGTATCGACGATATTTCTATAAGAGTATCGCAGGCGTTTCGATGCATCCTTAGTTAAAATTAAGCAACACAAAACGCATTGTAAATAATATCCTTAACCAATGATGGGCTCAAGCTTTAAGTTGCTGCTGTGTGACATGTTGTCCATACAATTTAACATTTAATTCCTACGACCACCCTGTTAATAACCAACCCTGTTGCATTTCTTAGCCATGAAGTTTCTCTAAACTAAAAATTCGCTTTAACACACACAGAAACCTTACGGTAAGATTCAGAAACAAGACAATGCAAACTATGGCTCCCTTATGTCAAAATCCAATTCGCTATTGACATATAAGAGTGAGCTCTCGTTTTTGAAGTGAAACTTCTTTAGGCGCATGAGGGTAAAATTTTTACGGATGAAACACAATAATAATATGTAATATTAGCGTCACGAAGATGTGCAGCGTTTTTGTCGAAGAAAAGGGAGAGAGCGATTGAGAGAGAGTGAGAAGGGCGAATTACCTAATAGATTATATTTTAAAAATTAAAATTTCGTAGAGAGAATTTATGTAATATTAGTATTTTATATTTTATGCAAAAAAATTTATTGAAATCTCAAATGACGAATTTTAAATAAAAAGTAAAAAAAAAATTATAATTTGTATTAATTTTTGACACTTGAATATTTTAATGACAATTAAATTCATTAAATTCCTAACATATCTTTCTTTTACCCTCCCTCTAAGTCGGAAATCTAAAGTTTTAGATTTGTATAAATATGAACAAGACTTAAAAATTAGTTTGCCAAAGAAGTTTCACTTCTGCCATGTGTACTTTGTTCGCACGCACTTTTTAATCTAAGATATGCTGAGTTTAGAGATCACGTACATTAATTCCCGGTGGTCCGTCATCAGCTACATCAGAGAAACGTATGGTCTTCTTCTCAGATATGCTTAACTTGACAGCCTCAGCTAGTAATAAACCATAATCGGGTGGTGGACCTGGGGGAACACCTGGGGGCTCTACTCCTGCTGGTCTTTCCTGAAAAGTTTGTGAATGTGTAAAAGTTATGTTAATAAAAGATAATACTAGTTTGTTAAGTCTTGACAAAGTAGGTATGTAATGTTAGTGTTTTCACTGAAAGATTTTCATTATGTAAATATTATAATCCCCAAACAATTAACTATTGTCATAATAACTCCTATTCACTAAAATAAAATATTGACACAACAAGTGTTAAGAATACTTCCTATACCTCTGGAACTATATAAATAACTTACACTTATCATCTATGTGATTGAGAGTGGAAAAAAATAATCGTTTTTTTTATAGAGTCCACTTTCCTATTCAATTCCAAATAGATTAAATTTTTCATTTAACCTCCCTTAATGTGAGACCAAGATGCAAAAATATTGAATCGCTAGAAACTTGTCAACACCGAATGGAAAGAAGTATACTTAACATAAAACTAAAAGACAAAGTTCGATTAACAACAATAAGGAAACAAACTAAAATTTTAGACATAAAATACCGAATCAAACAACTAAAATGGAAATGGGCTGGGCATTTGATAAGAAGTAATACGGAAAAATGGACCAAAGAAGTTATGGAATGGTGCCCTAGACATAAAACGAGAAGTAAAGGTAGACAACATCTTAGATGGGAAGATGATATTAAAAAGGTGGCAGGAGCGACATGGATGAGGAAAGCAAGAGATAGATATTTGTGGAGAACACTTGGGGAGCCTATGCTGAAAAGCAATACGATCAAGAAACCGGTGTCTAATAGGAAATAATTTGATAATATATACATTTACTTTAACTAAATTAAGTTAATAACTTAGTAGAAATAAGATAAAATGTAACTTAACAAGATTGTCAATAAAGGCTATATTTATTTAATGGGGTCTCCCAAGCAAGCCATGGAAGAACCATTTCTGTATTCATTACATTAGTAATTCAACATTTTTGCATGTGATGAGTTTTCTACAACATCTTACCCATAACAAATGTCTTGATGGAAATTTAATCCATCAGTTAGTAATGTGTTTGTTTTTATGGTTATTTCCATATAAGAAGAATGTTATCCATGTAAATGGATTTCACATATTGCAATGGTGTACAAATTAGGCCCCCATGGCATTAATATAGTATATAGTAGATATTTTTAATTGCATGACATAGCTTCTATGACATTATAAATATAAAAAATTGTTTGTGGCTTGCTCTTTGAACCAGTAGTATAAAATAAATACATACTTTATATGCAGAATCCTTCTTTAGAATTGGTTTCATAGGTACACTTGGGTGTAATGTATCAGCTGGAAGTGGTATTTGTAATGGCAAGTTTCCATAAATCAAGTTATCAGGAACCTGAAATAATGTAAAAATTTAAAATTATGCAAAATAATTGAAAATTTATAATAATACATTACTTCAATCCGGTAAAAAAGTGTTTTCTTTTAATGTAAATGGTTTAAGATATTATATAATATATTAAGATTATTGTAATTCACCATAATGATTTTTGAGGTATATTTATTAAAATCAAAATATATCTTGAAACTATCTGTCTCTCATTCCTCTTTGCCTCTTAGACTAAATAAGCTTAGGAAGTTTAAGACTTCAATGTTATTATAGGTGTAAAGCTATATTTATTACATAATTAAATTTTACACAAAATTGGTTTGTAAACAAAACTCTTTTACTACATAGTTATTATTTACTTAAAGAGAAACTTAATCCTTACCAACACATAAAAATAAAAAGTAATGTTTGTAGGATCCCTGAAAGTACTAGACTTGAAAGTCCACTATGTACTTTTGAGTGATATACATAATAGTGATTAATATATTATATTTTTACTGCCTCCATTTCACTACAGAATTTATATGAACTATACTTAAAACTATATGAAATACAATTTACCTGTAGTGTTGGCAAAGGAATATCATCAACTTGCACTGATTGTGCATGTTTTACAGATTCATAATAAGATATCAAATGAGCTCTTCTTTTCTCATACTCTACTTCTTGACGTTTTAAGTCAACCCACTTTTCTGGATCATCCTTGTACTACAAACACAAAGAAAAAATACTGAATATAGTATTTGTAAATATTTTCTTCTAATTAACAATAGAAATTGTAAAGGACTGTTAAAACTGGAGTTAACATCTAAATAGAGAAGAGACCCTTCAAATACAATTAAGATTCTCCTCACTCTCCAGTATGACACATAAGAATTAGGAACATCTGTACCAAATAAACATATAAATATGTTTATTCAATTAACTAGGAATGAACCTGTCATGATTACTTACATACATCTTTAACACCCTATCAAATGTTTCTTTTAACTTTTTTCTCTTCTCTTTCAACACTTTTTCATTCAGCGGCGAGGGTTGTAGTACATTATATTCTGTAAGTTAAATTAATACTTTTATAGTACATATAATCTGTTAAGAATTTATTGTCATATTAAAAACGTAATGTATATCTAGATGGTGGACAAACCATTATTACCGAGAATTACAATACAATTAATCTCTTCACATCAATCTCACTATGGTGGTCGAGTTTATTTTAAGTACACATACAATACAATTATGTACAAGTCAATTTAGATAACACATTAGTATCTAAATTGACGTTAAAGCTTTTGAATAATACTATTAAGTACCCATTTCATCGATTTTTTGTAGCTCATCAAGAATCTGTGTCGGATCTTTCATTTTGAGCACTGCTGCCCTGACCATTTGTCGTTGTCGTTTATTCTTCTTCAGTTCCTTCTTACGGGCTTCCTTGCCTTAAACACAATTTAAATAAGTTTAATAATTTGTTTATAACCAACTGAATTAAGAGATGCTTAAATACTTACGAGCTTGATCCGTGGGATTCATGTATTTACCACTCTTGGTGGTATTTATTGAACGTCGACCCATTTTGATTTGACGTATTTAAACTGTATAAGAAATAAAATTTTATTCGCTTTCAATATAATAACAATTTTATCACATTTATTTGCAAACTCCTAGCTTAGCTTAGGCCTTAGGCCCATCTCTCTCACAGACTAGGTAGAATACAGCTTTCGGCAGAACGTATGACAAACCACAGAGTTGAACGGTACATTTTAATTTAATTGCCGTTTGAATGTTATTGTAGGCAGTATAAATTAAATTGTTTATCTGTCATGATTACATACACAGACTACATATTAATTTTTGTAATTTATTATTATTTTGTCGGGCAATATCTAATTACAGCGTCGTTTAAAGGCTTTTTTCAAATAAAATTTTGTTTTATTTTAAATTAAATTGTCTTTTTCAAGACAGAGTGCTTTTGGAGGAGAATAATGTCTTCAGAGAGTGATGGTGATGAAGACGGGTCTACAAAGTCACCCGTAGACTCGAAAAAGAGGCGTATAGATAACTCTGTAAAATCGAACGATGTCGATAAGTATAAACCTTACTCTAAACCCGAGTATAAGCGATCCTACCCGGATAATAATAACATAGAAGAGTTTCCCGTTTACGTACAGGGAATTAAAATGGAAGATAAGATAGGTAATAAAAATCCTTTGCATTTATCAAAAATATTCAAAAACGTGAAGGGCATTAAGGAATGTCGTCGAGTTAATGCGGCCAAAATTATGCTGGTTTTCAAACAAGCTGCAGCTGCTAATGATTTTCTGAGTCACGTTAGCTTACGTGACAATAATATGAAAGCTTTTGTACCAGCCTCTTCGGTGGAGCGAGTGGGTAAAATTCGTTTTATCCCTAAAGAATGCAGTAACGCGGATTTATACCACAAACTAATGGCTGACTCTGAAATTGTTGGTGTTAGACGTTTTATGAAAAGAACTTGTGATGGTCTGGAACCTCTTACTACTATAAGCGTTACCTTTGTAGGAACTGTTCTCCCTCAGTATGTTTATTTAGACAACTGGCGTTACAAAGTTTTCACTTATATTCCTCCTCTCATGCAATGTTTTAAATGCATGAAATTTAGACACAGTGCCAAAGTATGTAGAAACAATCAGGTTTGTTCAAAGTGTTCAGGTGGTCATTCCTATAAGGAATGCTCAGCTGAATTTTTAAAGTGTGTTAACTGTGGAGGAGACCACTTGGCAGTATCCAGGTTTTGTCCTCAAAAAGCAGCTCAGATTAAAAAACATGAAAATAATTATTCATCTAAAATGTATTCAACTGTATTATTGTCAAGTGATTTTCCTCAGTTACCTAATGATAAATCAGTTGTAAAGTTGGCTCACAATAAATTAGCTCCACCTACTGTCCAACCTAAGAAAAAAAAGTTATCACAAAATTCATCAGATAGTTCAATTTCAGTCCAGTCTGCTCCTCCTAATAGTGGTTCCTATGATCAGCTCATTAAAGATGATCAGTTCTTGAGTAAAATTATCAAAACTTTAGTTATGTTAGGCAATTCTAATACAGTAAACACAACTGCACACATTAAGGATATATTAATACAAAACTTAACAAAATAATGGATTATTTACGATTAATGCAACATAACATACAGAGTATCAATAATAAGAAACCACTTCTTAAATCTTTATTATATGATAATAAAATAGATGTGTGCTTGCTGAATGAAACTTGGTTAAAAGATTCTGGTCTGCCTTTTTATATACCTGGTTATATATTTGTTGGAAAAAATGCTAAAAATGAGCATGGAGGTGTAGGTATATTAATAAAAAATGATATTAAATTTAAGGTCTTAAAAACTACTTTCTATCAAAATATTCAATTTATAGCTATTTCTATAATAACAGGATGTGGTCCTGTCTCAGTGCTCTGTGTCTACTGTCCACCAAATAATAGCTCAATTAGTTTGATTAATTTGAGAAAGATTATTTTGCAATTACCCAAACCTTGTCTTGTATCTGGTGATTTTAATGCTCACAATATAGCTTTTGGTTGTGATACTACCAATTCAAGAGGTCGTGAATTATTTGATATATTTGATGATGCTGATTTATGTATTTTAAATTCTGGTGACCCTACTACTATTTCTAGACCTGGTAATAATGCATCAGCCATTGATGTTACTTGTGTTAGCCCTGATATTGCACCACTTTGTGAGTGGTATGTCGGTGATGACTCTTTAGGGAGCTATCATTTACCTACTTTTGTTAACATCATTACCTCAACTCAAAAATATACAGTTCAAGAGTCTATACATAAGTATTTATATAATAAAACAAACTGGAATATGTACAATGATAAATCCAAAGATATATTTGATAAATTTTCTCCTTCAACAATTGATCCTTTAGTTCAATATGATGAATTTTCTAAATTACTATTTAGTTTAAAAGAAAACTGTGTTCCATTGTTAAAGCATAAATCTTCTAGTAAAAAGTCTGCTCCTCCAGCTCCTTGGTGGAATGATACTTGTGCCGAGGCTGTAACCAAATCAAGAGAAGCGTTAGCTAATTATAGACGTAATATGACAATGGACAATTATATAGAATATAAGAAAATAGATTCGAGGAAAAAAATTATTATAAAAATGGCTAAAAAGACAGTTGGAAAAGTCTTTGTTCGTCTTTTAATAGATTCACTCCAGTATCCCGAGTGTGGAATTTTATTAGAAGATTTAAGAGAATTAACATTAATAGAAATGTGTCCAAAAATGATGAGTGGATAGCAAGCTTTTTAGAGAAGTTAGGGCAACCTAGTAATAACAATGATAATATTTCTGGTTTATTCGAATTTAATGATGGAAGTCAGTGGAGCAAGTTTCTACTTAACTCTTTTTGTTTTGAAGAACTTGACATGGCTTTGTCTTCAAGAAAGAATACAACCCCTGGTCTTGACGATATTCCTTATATTATGCTTCAAAATCTACATGTTTCTGTAAAACATATTCTACTTAATATTTTAAATTCGCTTTGGTCTCATCAATTGATTCCAGAATCCTGGAGGTTGCAATGTGTCATACCAGTGTTAAAACCTGATAAACCCAATGATCATTTTAATTCGTACAGACCCATTTCTCTTACATCTTGTGTAGGGAAATTGTTTGAGCAAATGATTAAGATTAGACTGGACTATTTTGTTGAAAACCAGAAACTTATTCCTTCTTGTCAGTTTGGATTCAGAAAAGGCAAAAGTGCAGCAGAAAGTTTTATAGCTTACCTGACTGATATGAAGAAGTGTTTGTTATCAGGTTCTACTGCAATTTGTGTTTTCCTTGATGTTCAGGGGGGCATATGATAATGTAGATCTTCACCAATTAATTAGGGTGCTATATTCCTTGGGCATCCCAGGAAAGCTTTTAAAATGGATTTTCCATATGTATTATGGTCGTTCTTTATACATTAAATACAATAATGTTTTTCATGGTCCAAAATTAGCATTCAAGGGGTTGATGCAAGGGTCTTCTTTATCTCCAATCCTGTATAACCTTTATACTTCACAAATATATACATATGTGACTGAATCTGTAAAAATATTACAATTTGCTGATGACATCTTAATATATAGTGTAGGCAGTAATTTACAGGTTACTCAAGCAAAAGTTAATTCAGCTTTATGTCAACTTAACTACTATTATACTGAGATACTTAAATTAAATATAAATAGTAGTAAAAGTTCAGTTTTAGCTTATGGTATTGATACTAATGTAAATGTTAAGTATAACAATAATTTAATCCCTCAAAATAGCGAAAAAAAAGTTTCTTGGTGTAATTTTTGACACTAAATTAAAGTTTACCAAACACATTGACTATATTTGTAGTAGAGCTTTGAAAGGTATCAATATTTTGCGGTCCTTAGCAGGAACTTTTTGGGGTTCTGATCCAAAAATTCTTTGTTTATTATATAAAAGCTTAGTACGTAGTCATTTTGATTATAGCTGTCTGGCATATATGAATATTAGTCCTGTATTATTAAAAAAGCTTGATGTTATCCAAAATATTGCTCTTAGAATTGTTACTGGTGCAATGCGTACCACTCCTATCAATTCTATGGAGGTTGAGTCATGTGTAGAACCACTATGTATTCGGCGAGTATTAATTGCTGAAAAATTTTGCCTGAAAGTAATAACTTCTCAGAATGATGTTCTTCTTCCAAAACTTTCTTATTCTATAACTATCACTAATACACCAGATTTGCCTTCAAGTATAACAGCGACTAATGTTCTCAATAACCAGATCCCTGAATTATTGGGAATTATGAGCTTTATGACTGATTTATCTGATAATATGTACAAATCTGAACTATGGCCTGTATATCTCTGTAAATATAAAGCTCTTATGTGTAAATTAAATATAGATATGTCCAGTGTAGTAGATAATATAGACTTTCTGGATTATTGCTGTACCAAGCCTAACAGTTACAAAGTCTACACTGATGGCTCTAAATCTTCATCTGCAGTGAAATCGGGTTACTATGATCCTCAGGCTAAAACCTCAAAATGTTTTATGTTAAGTAATACTTGCAGCATATTTACAGCTGAAGCTTATGCTATCTATCAAGTTGTATTGTACTTACACAGTTTACAAAATAACGATAACTACATGGAGTTCCTAATAATTTCAGATTCAAAAAGTGTGTTAATGGCTTTAGACAAATGTCATACTCATTATAGAAATAATTATTTATTGTATAAAATTAGAGAAGCATTGATATCTTTGGATACTCCAGTAACATTTAAATGGGTGCCCTCTCATAGGGGTATCAAGGGAAATGAGATTGTAGATGGTATCGTCAATTCTAATTATGATGAGGATCATAGTATTACATGCAGAGTTCCTTTTACGGATTTTCTTTTCGACTTAAAACAAAGAAGTCGCAAGTTATGGGAAAGCTATTGGAAATTATCCTCACAGCATAAAGGTAGTTGGTATGCAGAGATCCAAAAGGAACTCCCATGTAAACCTTGGTATGATAAATACAAAGGAGCCAATGAACGTAAATTTATAACCATTATTAATCGTTTGAGGTTTGGCCACTGTCAGACTCCAAGCCATTTATTTCGTTTTAAAATTATAAATAATAACAGATGTACATACTGTGGAGGAAAGGAGGCCGACTTATCCCACCTCATCTTAAGTTGCCCGACCTTTAAATTTCAACGATTAATACTAGTAACGGATATTATGAAGTTGATGGATTTTGATGAGAATAATCGGACTAAACTTGGAAATTCTTTAGCAAATAACCCGACAAGATCAGCTTTAGACTCATCAGCAGTCACTGCAAATGGTAGTCATCAATGTCAACCATCACAAATAGAAATTCCCCGCCGTGTCCAAGATTTACTGAAATGTCCAGTTCTATTCAAAGCTATTCACTATTATATAAAAAACACGGTTGAGAAAATTTAAAACTCACCATTGTTTTATATTAATTGTATTTTATGTTAAGTTAGTATAGTAAATAGTTATTTGTGTAAGATATTTTGTTATACTTTTTTTTAAAGTGCCAATGGACTTTGTATCCGGCTAATAAATAAATTAAAAAAAAAAAAAAAAAAAAAAAAAGCGTCGTTTAAATTTATTGCGCCAAAAGTGCTAAACAACGTGGCTTCAAATATATTATGTATATAAAACGATTTTTTTAACCTGATCGACACAAGGTAGATTATTTATAATGTTTACATATTGTTATATAAAATTATAGTAGGTATGGATTGAACATTGTCTTTGGTTTTCACACGTAATAACATTTTAAGAAATTATATTTATTGAATGTAAACGAGAATAATTGATTACATTATTAACATAATTCAGTACTAGTATGTACAACAGTTATATTTGAATTATATTATTACAGTTACATATACGGATGTATGCATTATTAGATTCTTTTGAAAGTTATCGAATTCTTGTGTATGTGACTAATCACAATTTAATAAAAACTTCGGTACTCCTTCAATTTTTATCCTAATAAAGTAAAATTAAAAGGTTTATTACTTTATTTTTTTTTTATTATCACATTTCGCTCATTTTTTCATTCTCATTTTAAGATATAAAAACTATCAAAAATATAAAAACAAATCTATTGAATATCTATTATTCTAGTTTTGCGAGCACTGCGTCTGACTAGCGCCAGACTGAATATATAGGTGCTTGGATAGTATTTTAGTATTTACGCGAGACGACGGCGGCGCTTGTATTACGTATATCACGTACTACGCCAAACACACACAATGACAATTTTACGAGACATCAACTACGTCTGCACAAATACGTATTATCAACTACTCACTGATTTCATTCATGTATTGAAACTAGACCTCTGTTTCTGTCTCTTTCTGTCTAACTTCTTTTTAAAAGGTGTGAGTGAAGTGGGGACAATGTTGCTGACGGAAAAGCGCTGTGAACTAATTCGTCGCGTCTCTCGGCTCGAGCCGCAGTCGTAGTCTCGCTCGCTCGTCGCCCCTTCGGCCTCCGGCCTCGCGCAGTGGCAAAGAACGCGTTCAAAGCGTGTGTTCGACTTTCTGGTAGCGGCAAACGCTACAGCGTGTCTTTAATCATTGATGCAAAAGTTCCACGATGGTTGATCACAACGAAAAAATATTACAGGAATTGCTTAAGAAACCCGGAAATCAAGTGTGTGCAGATTGTGGTGCCGAGGGTATGTTGAATGTTTAATAATGATTCATTTCGCCTTGTAAAAGCGTGGTATTTCCATGGGATGGTGTATAGGCGGGGGGCGTAAGTGCGTCCATGCTCTGGAGTTCAGTGACCCCAAAGTAAAATGCATTCATTGAAAACAAATCGTCAACATCAACTGGTAAGATAGATTACTATTCTGAATGAGAAGAAGTCATATGTTATCGTTGGTTTATGCGGCAGAGCAAATAGTTTCCGGTTATAATTCCGTAGAAGGAACGCTTAATGTAAATTGATACCTATACGTAGCGAAATGGTTAATATTCTGTTTGATACGTTCCGTTGTATTAATCTACTCCTAATATCAAAAAATTGTTTTGCCAATTAAAAAATAAAAAGCTTTACCAATTTAACGAAGATATCTACTAGATGATAACTTGTCGAAGGACATGGGCTAATATTGTTCTAATTCTAGACAGATTAAGTCGTAGTAAGTATGTACATTAAAGCCTCTACCGTCACTCCACGAAGTATTTCTCATAGACTTTCCATAATACCCCAATAACAAATCGTGATTCATACATCACCGATATTTTATTATTCTTATCAACGCTTCACCTTTCTTGAGCTTTTTTGTTAATAGCGGATTTTCCTCATATTGTTTAACAAACATATTTTTATGTTTATAATATACGTTTAATAAATGCACTAGAGACACAATTATTTTCTCTAATAAGTACCAGTTATTTATAAAATATTGTGTGCAAAACCGATGTGAAGTTAGGGGCGGGCCGCTAATGCCATAAAAACCTTTAAAAATTCCGCGAAAAGTATGACTCAGGTATAGAACGTTCCAAGAATTCCATTTAAAAGTGAAAGTAGGTAGACAGTTAGAGTACATTGAATTAGCAAAAAAATTCCTTGGCTCTTGTTTATTTGTATAAAAATAAGTTTGAAATTATAGAGTTTAGTACCTAATTAGGTATATTCTTTCTCGTTGATCAATTTACTACATTTGACTCTCTTCAGAAATATTTATATCACGTAACAATTATTTGTATTTTTAATGACATACCAAACTTATAATCCATATATACCAATCACGTGGTTCAAAATATGTTTGATAAGAAAGTAATCAGCTGTATCTAGCATGAGTCAAATGATTTGCTTAACAATTTTTACCATATTTGGGAATGTAGCAATTTGATCTACTTTTCCGTAAACGTTGATCCAGTTTTTGTGTGTGAAACATTTTAGATTTTAGTAGAGATTTTCATATTTCTTTATTTTCTTTTTTATCTTTCGATTATAGCGTTTGTGAACTTATTTAAAAGGTCTATACTCGGAGTCGTTCATTAAGAGTTGTAGCCGTTAACTCTTAATGATGATATAATATACAGTATAAGTTGCGATCTATATATTTTAAAATATATATGACAATTACGGTGAACATATCATTTACGAATAAAAATATATACCCATACAAATTTTGGTTTCTACTTTCTAATTAGTTATTTAAAAGTAAACATACTTAGTGTTTTTTTTAATCCTCCTACGACCGCTGCTTCTTTCATCTCTGATCATCTCCAGCTTGGTGAATGGCGTCAGAGACGTTATTGCATTTGTGATACTTGGTCAGTCGTATAGTTTCTCTTAATATTAAATAAAAATAACAAGCTTTAATTATCAAAAGATACATTCTATACTAATAGAGACTAAATTGGTATGTCAATGACGAACATAGACTCCGAGATTTCCACTTTCTTCGAACTCTGCCAGCCCGGAACCTGACACAATTCCATCCTCTGTTGTCTTATTCGCTTTAATATTTTATTTAAATTTAGAATAAAACATATATGTTTTAAAATCATCTTCGAATAAAACCGGTTTTGAAAGATAGAGTTATATAACGTAAACAGCGATGTTTGCAGCCCTGTGTTTTAAATTTCGAATAATCTATCTTAAATAATAAATTAAAAATGTAATATAAAACCTTCATTCTAAAGTAATTAATTAAAAAACGGATTTATATTTATTCTGTGACATTATCGGATGTAAGTTATCAATTTCGTTTTGACATTAATTAAGCAAATCGATTAACGTTCGCATATTTTAATTCTTAATTACAATACTTTATCAATGAAAGTTCGTAAATGTTTTCGTTCTTTTACCTACTATGAGTTTCTTATATATTTTTACATAAATTATCGCAGAATGGTAAAATATGTCTGTAACGTTAATAATTACTAACAAACCATTACAAAAAAATATATATTCAATTATTTTTTGCGACTGGCCACGGGGCTTTTGGACAGTATTTACATAGATTCAAACTGAAGACAAGCCCCGCGTACGACTGTGACGAAAGAACCGACCAGAAACAGTAATTCATTTACTTGTTGACTATCCAACTTTCGAAAGAGCCAGGTCCTCTCTGGAGCTGGAGACTGGCATGAGGGTATCTCGGGATGGGCTATACAACATGTTGCTTGAGCACAGAACGCAGCTGGAAAATGCCGTAAAATTGTCAAATATGTCAGAAAGATAAATAGCACAAAAGGTAACGCGGGTCCCGCCCGGTACAGAATACAACAGAACGCTACTTATTCATAGGTTGGTATATTTGTTTTTGGGCTTATTTATTAAAAAAAAGCTTGCTAAGCACCTGCCAGGTACCTAATCCGAAATATACGAATAAGAATCTTTAAATAACTAATTAGTAAGTACATGAATTTTTCTTCTCTTTTTTGGAAGTGTATTTTTATAATTTTACGTAGATTTTATGTTTACCCTAATTGACATATTATAAAATGTAAAGATTGTAACTTATACCGTAGCAAATTATATATGATAAGTTGTGATAAATACATATATTATATCTTACTCGGAGTCGTTCATTTAGAGTTAATTAACGATTCCAAGTATAAGGCATTTAAATCACCACAAAATATACAATCGAACAATGATTCATTTCCAGCTGTGATTTTAAATCAGTATTTAACTAATGAGTATTTAAATGTTGTAGCTAAGTTACACGGTTCTTTATATTATTATAACTACATATAAAAAGATAATTAATTGGATGTCTAAAGACTGTCGTTGGGATGCAACCGCCATCCGTCAAAATCCAAAGACCATTTGACGCATAGAGTCGCGCTTAGATTAGTTTCTGAATAAGCAATATTAGACATAGACAGACATATTATTATGTCTATATTAATAGTATTAAACTCAGCATTTGTGGCCGGCGAAAGGCTCTGACTCGACTGATCACAACTCCAAACATCGAATGATATAAATTATGTAAAGTATTTTTGATTATGGCCGATAAAAAGGTTTTAATGTTTTAATATACTCGCGGAGACTTAAGCTTGGCAAAGCTATATCACATTTTGTAATAACTGTAAAAAATCGTATCAGGCGTATATCAGCCAAAAATGGGCACTTTCTTATAAGTAATAAAGGTAATTTTATAAAGCAATAAAGTACTTAAATAAAGTTTAAACTGAATAAAAAATTCATAATATATTAATCTTGGTATAGTTTATTGACCTTTAGTAGACTTGTGCCGATATTAAATTAACATTTAAAAGTGTGGATAATTCACTATCTCTATCTATTGTAGAGTTTTAACTGGCTATAACCCGTTTAAAAGATAATTATCAGCAATTGAAAACACACATTTTCATTTCTGTTTAACGTGTTACTTCGGCAGTTTTGAGTACGATTTCTGGCGAAATCATTTAACTTTGGTTTCAAGTTGGCTCGCTGGTTGTGTCGTTTTTTATTTTAATTTTAGATTTGCTCTCAAACGTCACAACATGTTAAAATGAGGACAATGACACACTTATGAAAGTATGTTATAGAATACACGTGTGAAAATGACAAGAGAACTTGAGAAACCCCTCCGCTAATCAGATCCATGCAACTCCCTTACACCGAGTAGCCCACAATATCGCTGAAAACAACTCCCGAGGGGCCTCTTTGTATTGCAGAAGTCGCATGTCATTACAATATAATAAATGCCAATGCATACATCCCGTAATTCCGACTTCAACCTAATATATAAATATCGATTTCGTGTCGATTAACGATCGTAATTCGCTGTTCGAACGTCCGAGAAGATCAACCCACAGCTGTTACGACCAAAACATTGCTATTTACGACGTCTCTGAACACATTGAAGAGGCCACGGACGCTTGTGTGCGTCACTGTGCGTGACGTTGGCGTGTAAACATGTGATGGCTATTTTCTTCATCGCTCAATGCAACCTGTGTATTTAGAATTTTAACTGATTACTAAATAAACACTCGACGGGAGCGCCTATTTTTGGAGAACCACCGCGGAGTTTAGCGTGAGCTAGCTGCTAACTTTTCACGTGGTTTAATCAATACAGTGTAATTTGTTACAATAACAACGATTAGTACAAGGTTATTACGATTATTCCATTAACGAATATTTATTTATAATATTCAATCTCCGATACCTTGATGCATCGTATCAACAAAGCGAGAAGAAATAAATTGTTTTGTTTATTCAATGGTATGGCCTCGATGGCATATTGAATACTTATTTGCCTTAAAATACCATATTCCCTTCATGTGATAGGACTTCCCCCAATATTATATCGTGTCGTGGAACGTTTTGTTTTTCACCGTTCTTATCATATCCATTGTGATATGAATTGATAAACAAACAGTAACCAATAGATCTCTATAAACTAATAACACAATTTATAACCTAAAACATCAACACACGTAAACAAGTTTTAGAAGCGTTTAGAATATTGGATCGTATTTGAAACCGGAAATTTGACACGTGTACAGACTTTACCGATATTTTGTTTAAAGAACTACCTTCACTTCCAGTAATACCGATCCCCATATTTTTGTATGCAAGTTCGATGAAGCGCGCTACTGTCGCAACCTTGAGATCTCGTGGTACAATAACAGAGTAAGGCCCTTGTTGCGTCTCTAATTGCTATTATCAATATTTACGTGATTCATAGTTTCAAATGATGGGAGATTGAACGTCTTCTAGAGGAGTATCATTTGGCCTTATTCATTAGCTGTGTAACTACTGGTATCTTGCAATACATCTATGAGATAAACCATGCTAATCCAAGGAGCGCGAAAACCTCTCCAAACAGAGCCAGATCATAAACTGTCTTCGTACAGAATTTATTTGAAATATTATTGAAAGGAATCCGGTGAGGTAGTCGTGTCTACCATAAAATGTCAGGTTACCGATTCCTCTCTATTATAGGCTTGACACCTAGACTCATACCTCTGTATAAAAGAGATTCAGAGGCGACCTGGGTAGAGAAACAAAACATAAATATATAAATTTAAAAAATGATTAAGCAAATTGTTTATTTATTGTGGCTTGCGTACTCTATTTTTCTACGTATTCTGTGTCAAACAGTTTGTACTAAGTTATACGTCGCAATATGCCTGCAGGGGGGGGCCCGATTCTCCTACTCTAGTTTTTTGTCTAAACTAATTCACGTATAAAAAAACATTTTGTTTTAAGAATATAAGTGAAAATAATTATATTGCTATGACTACCCCACCATTAATGGTTCGTCATTGAAATCATATCTACTTATTGAGATTACCGTTAAGATTGTCGGTTATGACTAACCACAGATATTGGTCGGTAAGTCCCCGTAGCTGCAGTCTATAGATATTATTTTTAGTTATGAATATTCAGACAAATGCGGACTCAGGATTAAATTCAATTCAACTCGCGTATATCAAATTCAATACGTTTTTGACATTTTAATTAATAATTAAGGCCCTGGAGTGAGGCTATGGAATTCACTTGCCGTCCCTTTCCGATTACCTTCTTCTCTATCTTCCTTGAAATCTCTGCTGTACAAGCGTTACCTGTCCATGACCTAACTGAAATTATTGTGTTTCATGTGTTTTTTTGTCTCTTTCACTGTCTATATGTTTTAATTGATTTGTTTTGTTCCATTGTTTTTCTCTAAACAATTGTATGTCATATTTAGCTATGCACTTTTCGTGCGGAAAAAAATTCTCAAAGTTGCCTGTAAGAGATGGCTGGAAATCGATAAGGCCGCCATTGGCCTCCTTTATATTTAATTATTTCTATTGTACTGTATTTCTGTGCTAATGACGTTTGTTATGTGTTACATAATCTAAGAGATTACTTAAGTAGTAACTATAATGAACCTTAACCTAACTCTCGATTCGAATTTTACCCTAGAACTCTCTAAGGATACTAGGGTGAGGTTCAGAAATGATATATAGCGCGAACTATTTTTGACATATGGGAGATATGTCAAAATCAAATACATTTTGACGTACGAAAATTAGGCTTTGCGCTAAGAATCGTTTTTGAATCTTACCCCTAAGTAGCTGTATAAAATTATCTTTGGTTTCCGCGAATATTTAATTAATCTGTAATAATCATATTTCAATCTGAGATCAGACCGTGACAGTCGATCGATCTCCTATCTGCATCCCAATAACCAAACCCTACGAAGACAATCCATTTTTGGCGACGGATGAAATGCTCTTTGTCGTTCCATTTTACCGAGTTTACACTCATAGTTGATAATCAATGTAAACCAAATAAAGTATATAAAACCGTACAAATAACATTAAAATATACATGTGCCTATGTTTAAAACATAACAAACAGTTTTTTTAATTATTTAAAATACTGGTGTAAGTTAAAATCTGTCAAAATAATTAACTGTTGATATCGAGCTTTTGTCAACTGTCATTTTCATACAAAGGTCCACAGACAACGATACGACCTCCCATGGATGATAGCTTGTATCGACAGATGGCTATTACAATCCGTCGATTGGTTATTGGCAGACTTGTTACAACATTTGGATTAAGATTACCTACTATCTCAGATGGTCAAAAGATTTAGATTGAGATAGGTTATTGGGTTTGGTCGTTAGTAAACATTTTAATTAACCGCAAGCTCTCGCTGTCTGCTCAAAGGCCCTCGAAACGTCGAGTTATGTAAATAATGTAGTAAATTCGCGTTTATATCCGATAAAGAATTTTTATTGAAATGTCTCTGGATGCATTCAGGCATTTGCATATTAATCTGCATGTCTTCACAAAGTGCCAAGAGACTCACATCTGTCAAATTGTTATCGAATAACATTTGGGAGTGTCAGTTCGTACTTAGTACTGTCAAAATATTCGCATAAGGCTCGTCTTATCATATTACAATTCCTTTCTTCGGATTTTTAGATATTGATTTCCAAAGTTTTTCACCTTTATTATTCGTTTAGATATTTAATTGCGACTTAACAAAAACGTTTTCCGTTGGTAAGTTTTTTGGACTTGATAATTAACGCAATTTAAACAGACCGCGAAAATGAACTTGTAAAAAGTTACTTATTTCATGATGTGTGAATTTCGAGGTGAATGACCTCAACAATTTATCTGAATTAATTGCTACAAACACATTATTTACGTAAGCTTAATTATTTACGTAAAATGAGACGTTAAGTCGCAATTGAGAATAATTTCTTCCTATAAATTATCATACGAGTATACTTTTATGAATTAACTTTTTTTAAAATTAGTGAAGTATGCAGTCTATCGTGAGAAAACCGGCATGTCTACAGCCTGTGTACTAGAACGTCAATCAAACTTAACCCTAGTTTCAAGAGCTGTCAAACCATTTGTTCTGTATGAAGATTGACATATTTGACAGCGCCCAAGACTAATATAAATAATAATTAGAATATTAGAGACAAAACATTTCATACATAAATTCAAGACGCGTGCCAGGCAGAGAAGGCATAGACAAAAACCCATAAAGGGCTGTGGCGCCATCGAATAATCAATATTAATAATTTCCATAATCAAAAATTAAAAATACAATTATGTAACACTAGATGTGGTCTACGGTTCCATCCGCATTAATTCGGTCGAAGTTCGATTTTCTATAGTATCGAGAAATAGACTTTTAAACGCAAAAATATTATTATTTTGTTAGACATCGTATCGCAGACGTTTTTGTAGATATTAATGTCTTCTATAAAACTTTACATCACTTTGCTCTATTGTCAATAGTTTCCGCAGGGAACGCAATATAGGCATTTTCACACGGAACCCTAACTTTTTAACCCTAATATTCTTTAGTATATGTTCATCAGGGATAACGTAGTGTTCTAATAATAAAAGTTTTTTGTTAAATCGGTCCAGTAGTCTAACCAATTAAATGCAAAAAAATCTCTTAATATCAGTATAGATTATATTGTTGTCTATGGTTGCTAAAAATGCTGACTATTTCTTTATAAAAATATAACAAATATTTGATGAATTGCAGAATAACAAAATTGCTTATTACATTCTTGTTACACGTGTTATTTAATTGCTGATCTCGAATAACACTTAATGACTTAATAATATGTAAACAAGTTAAATTTATGTAAATGCAAATCGCTATACATAAAATTTTCCTAGTGTTTACTTAGTGTTGGCCTAGTGGGTTCAGGGTGCGAATCTTATCCTTGAAGTCGTAGGTTCGATCCCCAGCTGTGCACCAATGGACTTTCTATCTGCGCTTTTAACATACGCTCGAACGGTGATGGAAAACATCGTGAGGAAACCGGCTTGCCTTAGACCCTTAAAGTCGACGGCGTGTCAGGCACTGGAGGCTGATCGCCTTGCCTATTAGATTGACAAATGTTCATGAGACAGATACAGAAATCTGAGGCCCAGACCTAAAAATATTGTAGTACCACAGAGTATTTTATAGATTTTATATGAGCTAAAATTTCCAAAAAAAATCATTAAATTTAAAAAGAAATCAGATATGCGTTCTATAGACTAATCTAATGTGTCTGTTTCAAGTTTCAACCTTCAAAAATTCATCAAAAACCCTTTGACACCCCGCATGTTTTCCCCGAAATAAATCATTGATACATAATTTTATTGTAGATGTAATCAAATATAAATTTTAAGCAGTTTTTAGTAATAATATAATACTCGTATAAGCTTATAACATCTCTCACCCACACACAGCCATACATGATTTTGTTTCTATTTAACATTAAGACACACACATTACATTTTTATTTTTATTATATTTCATTTGTTTTAAACCCCTGCCTTAATTACACAACTCCCTTGTATGGGGACTAGTGACCAATTTTGTCACAACCATATTTTGTTATTAATAAAGTTTATTATTATTAATCAGGATTTGACGCTGCATCTTATTACGTATTCATTTACGTGATTGAATCTTCTCTTTACGACATTGACGTCTTTAATTCGATTATTAATAATAAAATATGTTACGAGTTAATTGTAAAGAAGTGTCTAGATTTTGTAATCTCACAGCGTACCTAAATAAAAATGGCAGATATAAACCACGAGGACTTCAGTCGACGGCGTGTGTCATACACATAAGTCCGTGGTCACCTATCACCCTAAACCCCGAGAAAAAAACAAATTGTATATTTATTTATAGGAACTATCGCTATATATTTGTTTTGGAGCGGTCGCGACCTACTGGATTTGTCCCTACGTAATTTAACACTTGTCTTCAATATTTCAGATCCAGACTGGGCATCATACAACCTCGGTATCTTCATATGCATGCGATGTGCCAGCATACATCGTGGTATGGGCGCTCATATTAGTAAGGTCAAACACTTGGAACTGGACCGATGGGAGGACTCACAAGTTCATCGTATGAAGGAAGTTGGTAATGTTGCAGCAAGGAACAAGTATGAGGATCGGGTACCGCCCTGCTACAGACGACCCGCCAAGAGTGATCCTCAGTGAGTATTTAAAAATAATCGAAATAAGAAAAAAATTACAAAAAACTTTAAATTGCACTTGTAAGTTAGTTGATGTATATAAATAAACCTGCAACGGTCTTGAAGTCGTTTAAAAAAACACTTGTAAAAAATAAATTTTCTATTTTTAAAAACACTTAACCTTGCTTAAGAACCTCCTTTTCACTTTCACGAAACAAAAGACAACCGAAAAAAAAAGTTAAAAGTATGGAAAACAATGTTTTGAACCGATACGTATAACAGTTAAAAATGTGCCATATTGAGTGTTGATCATTTGTTACAATTGTGCAAAACTTAGATCTTAATAACAAGGTTTTCAATACATTTTAATATTCTGCAAATTATTGACGAAGTTTCCACAGTTCGTTCTAAATCTTCAATTTTCTAGCACGCTACCTTCTTATTAAGTTTATACAATGCCAATGCTTTTACGCAAGCCCAAAATCCGAATTAATAAGTTTTAAATTATTTATTGAAAATTTGGGTTAACCTTTGAATAATTATATTAATTTTGTTTTCATAGAACATGAGTATTTTTGCATTGTACAAGTCAATGATGGTAAAGTTTGATATGTACACAGCTCTATACAAAGTCTCATTGCACCGTTTAAACTAAAGTGATCTGTCTCTTTTTTATCATAGACTAAACAGAAATAGACAAGACTTTAGTTATATAGTGCAATACTAATGTTTATAAATAAGGGTTATTGATTATAAAAGGAAGTATAGGTCGCTAAGCGTAATTTGGTAATTAAATAAAAAAATTGCTCTTGCCGGATGAAAAACTATGACTATTTTCGAGACTAAAAGAAGAAGAACAATTTTTCAGGGTACTCATAGAACAGTGGATTCGTGCTAAATACGAGCGAGAAGAATTTTGTCACCCAGAGCGCCAAAGCTACCTCTCTGGCTCAATGGAAGGTTTTCTGATGAAGAGGGGAAAGGAAGACAGCAGATATCAACTACGGAAGTTTGTTCTAAATGAAAACGAGGACACTTTAAAGTAAGTAAAGCTTATGGGACAGCCGTGACTCGTCGATTATAAGTATATCTAAAGAACGAGCTACGAAAATGGCTGATTAGTTAACGAATGATTTAATATATTGATCTTTTTAGTTTCTAATTGGATCATGGTATTAAATCTTTACTTAACTGTTAATTAACGATCCTGAGTATGGTTTGACAGATTGTTAGTTGGGGCCAAAGGAATATATAAGTATACATTATTGTTAAGTGCGCTTCAATAATATTAAATGAAAGGTTATTTTATATTTAAAATGGCATTTAATTCAGCATGGCCTTCATACTTTCCGTAATTTCAAAAAAATCATTTAAAATGCATGTTTCATTGTCATTCACATACAGCATATCATATTTAAAAATAATAGTTAATTAAAAATTAAACAGAATTTCAATACATATAATACCAATTTTTAACTAATTCCTATGTTGGAATGTAATATTTACAGAAATTTGTTAATTCATGCGGAAATACACGTGCATACTTCAATTTTTTTTAATTCTGTTAAAAGTCGAATTTAATATAACATTAAAACCAAAACCTCTAAATTACTATTATGTTGATTCTCAAACAATCTTTATACTTTCGTAATAGTCTCTATACATCATTTCATTATATGATGAAATATTTATCTTTATCATTATTTTATCTGTTACCAGCCAATGTCAACAAACAGCAAACAATGTTTACCGAATTGCCAGCACGATAAGAGATTACGATATCTCATACCTAATTAGTTTTCCTACCTACAGAATACTAACGTCACGACAAAAAATTCCACGTTTCAAAACGTCATCGCCGATATTTACTCTACGTAACGCCGTTATTGTAACTAGGTGAAAATTTTACAACAATTATCGTCCACGGTTACCGAGGCACGTATAAAACATCGCCTTTAGAATTTTCTCGGGTGGAAGGAAAATCTATTGACGTCACCAGAGCCTACGCAATCGTAAAAAGGCAATTTTAATACTCTGTAAACAACTGTTAACGATTTATTATTAGAGCCTTGATATTTGCATAGTTGATATAAATAAATGTTTTATTTAATTATATCCGGGTTATAGAAATCGGTTATTAGTGCACTTTAAATGACGGTATTTTAGTAGAGGAAATCGATATTGACTATACGCATAAAACCGAAACGGTTTGCTAAAACCGGTACTAAACGCATCTAATGCTCGGAATTGACACGCGAACGCGGGCGAAATGACGTTCGTGTTCGTGATTGGTGGATTCGACGTCACCATGACCTTGAGATACACCAATCACGGTCAATACGTGAAATCCGTTTAAAACGCGTCTAAAATCAACCCTGTCCTTTGCACGCTCTTCTATAAGAATTTCAAACAACGGAATGGTTCCTAGGTATCAGCGCCCTACTGACGCTTGTTCTGGTGCAACGGGTTGTCTTGGCCGTTTATTCAATCGGCTACGACTCAAAAACTATCGTTTGAGGTAAGATGAGTATTGACGATTCAAAATTTATAGCATTGTGTACAAAATATGTCAGGAAGAGTTTTCAAACATATATAAAGTAATTTCAGGATTCGTTTGCCTTTTAAAGTACGAAAAGGCCTATTTAAACCATGAATACCGGTAATTAAACGAAATTTTAACTACTCTTTCCGAAATGCGAGATTATTGATAAGAAAAGTCTATATTATCCAACTCATGCCCTCGTCAGCTTTCATTATCAATAGCATGCTTCGATCAATCACAAAGCTTAAAATATTGTAAACTAATTAAAGTTTTTCCAGGGGCAGGTAAGATGAGTTTGTTTTGATCTCTGTTATTGCTTGTACAATACCAAAGATCAGATCAAATTAAGTGTTATTAAGAAATTTACAACAAGTGCCAACTATATTCGTAACAAACTATTATTACTAAATACGACTATTAAAATAGTATAGAACATCTTATAAGTATATATTATTACCCATAACCGACGAGCATTCATGGTGAATGAAAGTATGGCAGAACTGAAGCAAGTTGAGATCCATTGTCGTTGCCTACGCCTTCGGTAAAAAGCGAAGCGTGAGGTTACAGATAGATAGAAAACACCTTAACACCTTTGATACTTTAAAACACAACACTTTTTAGTTTATCAAAATACTTACGAAATCAGGTGATACAATATACTATTAAAATACCACGAACGGAGTAACGTCTCTCTCCTTTAAAAATAATATTCCCTCATTCCCATTATATTCTTTTCTTTATAGGTACCACGTAAAAGAAAACAAGGAACCCAAGGGAATCCTAAAGTTGTCTGAACTAAATGTTTCTTTCGCCCCAGCGAAGATCGGTCACATGAATTCTATGCAGCTCACATTTATGAAGGAAGGCTCAACTCGACACATCTACGTGTATCATGAGGATGCCGAAGTTATTAATTGCTGGTTCGTATTATTAATATTACTCGCAATTAAAATTATATAAAAAAAGTGTGTGTGTACAAAGTACACATGTCAGAAGTGAAACTTCAGTGGCAAACTAATCTTGAAGTGTTGTTCATATTTATACAAATCTTAGTTTAGATTTCCGATACTTAGAGGGACGGAAAAAGGAAGATATGTTAGGAATTTAATGAATTTAATTGTCATTAAAATAATAAGTGTCGAATAATAAATAATAAATAATGTGACGGTAAATTTTTTCCAACGCCGATAAGGAAGTTTGACTTCAAAAAGGAACATGGCGCGTAACCGAAAAACGTGACGCGTAACGAAAAAATGTTACACTAAATTTTTTTCCAACCTCGATAAAGAAGTTTCACTTCAAACATCACCCTGTTTTTTGCATATCAAAAGACGGCTGAAAATTCAAAAGTATTTTAGAAATAAAGCTAGCAACACTGTCTATATAGTCTAGTAGTTTTTAAGTTAACAAACAAATATTTCCTATATATTTATAATATATATAGAAACACGAAATAAAATATGTCTATCGATTAATCTGAATAAAATACCGTTACCGGTAATTTTACAAACAAATAACGTTCTTATATAACAAGTAATGGGAATGCGATCATTTGTAGATACCATTCATTATTGTTCACCATTATTTGATTACATTAGAAGTGTTGTTAATTGTTAGTATTTTATTTTGTCAATACATGACGTTAGTGCTAAACAAATTATTATTTTAGATTGCGTATACATATATATTTTAACGGGTTTTAAAAAAAAAATAAAAAAAAATTAAGTATATTTTTCATTTTTTAGGTACACAGCCATCCGATGCGCTAAACTCCACCTTTTACAAGTGGCTTTTCCCTCAACACCACAATCAGACCTGCTCCTACGTCTACCGAAAGACTTCGCTCGTGAAGGCTGGCTTTGGAAGACCGGACCCAGGACTTCAGATGTCCATAGAAGAAGATGGTTCACGTTGGACAACAGGAAACTGATGTACCACGACGAACCACTAGACGCCTACCCAAAGGGGGAGATATTTATAGGTATGTCTATTAAAATACAAGTGTAATTTATTGTCTTTACTTGACAACTGTTAAATGTCATTTCAGTGACAGCTGAGGTAGGTGTAGCTTGAATTTATATCAAAATTGGCTTAATATAAATAACATTTGAAGAACACCTGCTTGAGACAAATGCACGTTTTGCATACGCTAAACTATACTAAAATTTGTATGGGAAAGAGATTTCAGTAGCTTTGTCACGTGACCATTCTGCTTGGTAACGCTTGTCGAAAAGTGATTTTGTCTCAATCCCCGCATCTGTAAAATGATTTAGTTGGTGGTCTTGATTTTGCTTCCGATTGTAAAGATGTTGGGTTACCTACTACTATAAAATAGACGAAGCAACGTTCTTTATAATCTCAACGACATGCTACCAAAGAGTTCTTGCATATCGCCTGACGCGAACCAGATAACCTGGACTCGTTGTCGTGAAGGCAAAATGCCGCAAATCCCCAACCCACTGGTGAGGCCAAGTCACAATATTCACGGGTCTCCCCATAGAATAAATGTAGAGATACAATAAATGTAGAGATAGTAGAAGGCACCTTACAATGACGCGACCCTCAGCAATAAAGAATATGACTGAGAAAAAAACTTATGTGTCATCCTCCCATAGACACTCACTCTACGGCTCGCCAGTGTGTTGCTGACCTTATTTAATTTTATATTCGATTTCTTGATTAAGGCATAATTTTTTCATTAATAATTCCAGGTCACGAGTCAACTGGGTACCACATCAAAGTATCGAACACAGGCAACGGTTGTAAAGAAGCGAGGTTCCCCTTCTATCTGGTGACTCCAGAGCGGACATTCTGCCTTGCTGCAGCCACTCATGAGGACCGAGCTGGCTGGTTAACGGTCATCCAGCATACGCTTAAACGGCCCCTCACACCTCAGGATTCTACCAGTAAGTACTTTTACAAATTAATGAAATACCCGCATTTAATTGCTTATCAAATAAAAATAAGCACATAAAATAGTTATTGTAAATTCAGTAATTATATTAAGAAATATATCTCGTAATAGCTGCTTAAGGAGGGTAGGACAAAATAAAATTCAGGCACAGACTGATCAAAACATTTTTTTATATATACGTTACTATTTTTAAATTATTGTTATATTTCTTAATTACATTGTTAAATTTTTCACAAGTTCAAAATCTATATATAAAATTGTATAATCTATCGCATAATATGTGTAATCTGTTATTCATGCAATACAATAGTCTGACGTCACAAAACGTCAGTTACACTGTCGTCACATCGACGTGGATTGACAGAACGTCACGATAGAAAATTTTATAGTTATGGCGACTAGATAATTTGACGTCAATTGTATTACCATACAATGTACATTTTACACGTCACAATGTACAAACATTCTCTCATAAGCATACTCTTTACGCACGAAAACATCTGAACTTTCGCTTGGAGCCTTTCGTATTGCCTACGTTTAAAACCGTTTTGAGACAGTGATACCAACTTGGAGGGACTTCTCCCCAAATTTAGGGGCAATTTTCAGAGGTTTTTACATTTATTTAGGGGGTACTTAATTAGGTTAGGGTAGGTATTTTCTTTCCTTTTTTTTCTTAAAAAATACGCACGATTCTATAACCAAATCAAATATCAAATACAAGCGTGGCTATAACAGATATATACGTAATATCAAAAAGTTATAATTCTCCAAGATCTATATAACAGCTATTTTTTACTATGTACTTACTTGTATAATTTAATTCATATTTAAAATTATCTATGAAATTGAATGTACAACAAAAACTTTAGGGTTTTTCGATATTTAGGAGTGTTTGCAGTTTGTTGGTCCTAGGGGAACATTCTGTAAGAGTTGGCTTCATTGCTTTGGGAGGGTTCTACCAAATTAATATAGCTAAAAAATATACTTATTAGCCTAGTTTTCTAAGTTATTCAACATTTGCTTTTACGTTGAAAAAAACCTCGATTCGAGACTAAGAATCGCTTACATTTATAGGAAAATCGAGGCAAAAATGTCTGCTTCATGCTTTTGACTTTGTCCCATTATTCTCCAAAACGTGAATTAACATTACTTCTTACACTTTAATAAAACCTAAGTACTCTATGATTGCGCATGTTACTTTTTGAAGTTATACTTCTTTAGGGGCGTTATGAAAAATTGATGAGAGTGAAATTTTAAAATGCGCGCGCATCGTGACACAAAATTAACAGAATGAAGTTGCCCACGGAAGATGCTACGGCATTGGACATGATTATTTAATTGTAATTAATTATTTGCATGCAACCAAAAACTATTTTTAACAATGCCAAAGAAGTATAACTTCTTACGCGCGTACATAAGTAGACGCACCCTTTTTTTACTCTTTTAACTTAATTTATATTGACATTTTTTTTATACATCATAATTTTAATTTTCAGTTGAGGCAATACTTGTAAGAAAAAGGACGACATCGAACTCTATCAGCATATTTTCAGGAAGGTAGTTATGTTGTACGGAACTTAATACGTATAAGCAATACTTTAATGGTTGTAGACAGCCGGAATAATTAAGCAATAATTTGACTTTTAAAACTAACGTTTCTGGCAACTTTTATATACCGTACGTCAGACACCTGATATCGCACGACAGATTATATTTGTCGTATCCATACGACTTATCGACATAATTAATTTACGAGATAGAATATTTATTCCGGTATTGTTTTTACATTTGTAAATAATTTCACAGTATGAATTTATAACGTTAATATTAATTTATAATGAAATGTTGTAAATTATTTTATGTGTAATTTAGTGACGGACTGAATCTACTGAGTTTTATGTATGGTTTGTATAGTTTTTATGGAGATTTACACAATAAATATGATTCGTTTTACTATATTGTACTTGGAAATGTCATAAGCATATACGTAATAAGTTATATAATTAATACAGAATAATAGTGTCTTGATTTTGTACACTAAATATTGTAGTTTGACGATAATGTAATGAAATTAAACAATCCTTTTTAACAACGCACAAAAACATTTTTCCGAAATTAAACTACTATATCGACATTTCTATATGGCAGCTACATATTATAAGATATAGTGAAACGAAAACAAAATTATGGTTAAGATTCCTTAAACATGTTTGTGTCAAGGTACAGCAGGGCTATTTTTTATTTCAGTGATTCAGAGACTTACAACTCTTTGTGGAAATTCTGTGGGTCTTAACAATAACGCCATCTCATATCACTATTTTTAATGACATAATTTGCTTTATGTGATATTTAGTATTATATAAAGTTATTATACTCTATATAGTTTAAAAACCAGTGGGTGGATTGCGTCGTCCAAGTTTGACTCTTATGACAACCAATACGTTCATCGTAGTTCAGCATATTATCAAAAAGTTTTCAACTGAGATACTTAATCAATTAACGATTTTACGGAGAGCGTATTCTTCATTCCTTGACTATTTATTTTATTCTACGTCACCACCAAATACGGTATACGAAATTAAGATTATTAATTAATTTCCATAGATACCACATACAGAAATAGTATCAAGAATATCGTATCGTATTATGATACAATATAGCTATACGATACGATATTAATCAAACTGTTACTGTCAGTAACAAAAAACATTTGTCTTATGGCGCTTCTAAACGGGCCATGTTTTGCTGCAATTGATGGCTGCAACACTGTGGCCCGGCAACATTGCAAACAATTGCAGCCACAATAAGCAATATTGCAGCCCCGATGGGTTGCCGAACGATCGCTAGGCTATCGAATTCAACTGCAATATTGCACAGCCAATTCTATTGTTGTTTCAGTCACTCTCTTTGTTATGGCATAGTGTATCCTTTTCTACGCGACATGACGTTTGCGATGAGTGAAGTGTGCCTGTTGCTATATTCTGTTTTGCGATCAGCTGCATTTTGACGTTAGGTTACTACGTAAAAATGACTGCTTTTGACATTCTAGTAAAATTTTTGAATACAAATTTATTATCAAGGCTTATTTCTAGACTCAAATTGTCTACAGTTTCACGCATATGTAAGTAAGGTCGAATCCAGGACCTCTTCTTTTTCTGTTTCTTTTTTAAAACAATATAAGCTGCTGCGACAAGTGTGATTTCGTCAGCCATTGTTGCCGGTTTGTGTAGCCCGTTTAGGAGTCTGCATCATGGGATATACTATTGCAGACATATTGCAACACATTGCCCAGCCATAGATTGTTCGGCCATCAGCTGCATTAAAATATTTTGTAATGGCCGGGCAATTAGTGGCCAACAGTGCAGCCATCAATTGCAGCAAAACATGGCCCGTTTAGACGCGCCATTACAATCTCAATTGTAATTGCTCTCTTTCATTACAACACGTTCTACAGGGAATATAATTTAAATTTTTCAAATATAAATCTTATTTAGTACGGTATAGTACGGTATAAATAATATTAATAAATCCAATGTATTCCCTGTCACAATTATGTAGTGAATAGTTTATTTATTGTGTGTATGTCATCGCAGAGTGAAGTTGTGTATTATTAATTTAAATCAAAAATACTTTGCTAATTGTCGTGGGAGATTTGCATGCGAAATATCTTAAATTGCTTAAAGCGTCTGAATGGATTGACAGCTATATGTTAGTAAAAAATTAATTATCAATTACAAATAATGATTTAAACATACTAAGCATTAGATATAAAATAGGATATTTAAAGCTAGGAGACTGCCAAAAACATGGTAGAAATAATACTTTATTTATATTTTTATGCGAGTATACTATCGGATTTGATAATACAGGATGTTTGATGGTGTGAATGAAATTCAACTGTCTGTGCTTTTTTTTGGGCAGTAAAACTTAGATTAAGCCTGCGCTGGATAAAAATTATTTGAAATTTGAATCAAAATGGCGACGGATAGCGTTCGTGGCGTGTCTAGGGTTACCATGGTTATGGGTTGTTACCATAGTAACGCAACAGTAGATCTACTGTGAGTATTTCAAAGTACTAAACGTTTCGTTTTGCATATGAACTCTAAATATTTAGGGGAAAATTCATAGTCGAGATTTAGCGCGAACTCGAATGTCAAATACGTTACGTTTAATACTCTTTCATTGTAGGGCTCTTGGCTCATTAGTCCAGTTTGAAGAAATGGTCGTAACTATAGAGGCAAGGATTGACATTGACAAGCTAATGTCATTTTGTAGGTTGATTGATGAGTCGTTAAGGTTGAAATTATTTTGCATATATCGTTCATGACTCAGCTAAAATTTGTGTTTTGTGCGGACTTTTCCACATATACAAAAATAACACAGGGTATATTTGGTTTGTGTTTCCAAAATATTTAATCTGTGACCGAAAGAGATTTTGGCGCAAAAATTACATTGTACACAAAAAATATTTTATTCAATATGTACTATAAAATTAATTTTATAGTAGAAAATAGTACCATGTCGCATGGCTGTTTCATTATTACTTTAATCTTGAACCAGTCTTGCTTTGTCATATGTGGAAAGCCCAAATGTCTTATATTGAAAATGTTTAACAGAAGCTTTTAGTTAGACTATTCTATGAAGTCATTAAAAAAACTGGATAACCTTAAAGCCATTCTAGGTTTCAGGCACTAAACGGGACATTTTATAGTTTTAAATTAAAAAGTATTTAAGTAAAAGTAAAAGTTTGCTAAAAATTTCCTTTTAATTTAATAGAACATTATGAAGTTTCCGATTGTACCCATATCTATATACTATAGTGTAGAATGTAGAGTCTAGATAATGCTAGATTTTGTATCTGTAGAAAAACACGTCGGCCGAGCCCTTATAGTATTATCGATCGTTCTTTGAGCCAATATTCACATAACCATTAATTGCACAAAATGTATTCGAAATTCAAAAATATCCTTAAATGTAGACTTAATTTTTTTATACAGACCAAAAAGGTTGCAGTGAAGGTATTCGTATACCCATAGACAAAATTAGATTTTTAGAAAATGTTTGTACCCAGAAATTAGATTTTGTAGCAATAATTTGTATGATATTATCCTAGTGTATTCCTTAAAATACTTTTTATATTGACATTGTATAAACATCGCGTAACTATAATATTTATTGTAATGCTGGAGATAGGTATTGTGAACAGTAAGGACATTGAAAACTCTCCAGCTTTTGTCTTCTTATGTATATTTCTATACCTATACATAAGAAGACAAAAGACTGTCTAAGAAAATAAATCTGATTACATGTTTTATACAAAAAAATAGTTAAACATTTATTCATAATTAATTAACTATTTGTTTTAAGATTCAGTCAAGATTAAAAAACTATTTTGACATATCGAACATTGACAGGTTTCTATTGTCCTTACTGTATTCATTATCTGTGGTGTAAGCGTGAATTAGGGAATCATCGCTGTAGTTAATTTTAGCGTAATTATTTAATGAAATTTACCAAAATGTTGCCTCGCTTAAGTTACAATCATGATTTATTAGTTCTTAACTCATTTGTGTGCTCTGGCATAATATTATTATGATTAAATATATTTATGTCAACTGATATAACATTCACCAGACAATATGTTTTATTTCACCCTCAGCCTCACCATATCACATAGAAATAACCTTTACATGCATCAAATGGATGGACCCTTGGATGAGATTTTTTTTACACTGAATTAAAACCTATAATATAATTTGATAGAAAAAAAAACTTGACGTCGCCATAGACTCTACATTACATATCATATCCCTGTGGCCGTACCCAAAAGACGGGATTCCCGACAGTAGTCGTAGATTATCTAGTATCGTAGTAGACATAGTCTAAGCACTGACCGAAGGCCCCAGTGACTATGGTCGAGAAGTATATATCCTTAGCGGTCGGAGTATCTTGTCAGCGCGTTTCAGAGTTTGACGTCGTCCTGTCCTGTTTCGTGTTTGCAGATAATAGATGTCGCTGCACAGTGTCAGTCAGCTTGAGATACTCTTTATAACAAGTGCCTTGGTTTTAAAGGCAAACGTGTTTTATAATAAATTAGACTTACAATAAGCCTGCACAGGATGATCCGCTTTGCTATTTTTAGGTTTCAGTTAAAACTATCAGTATCTAAGAAAAAGTTAGAAATAATTTGTGTGTGTATTTATTATTTTAAGCTAAGTGTACTTTTAATGCTGGCAGCATTTCCTCAATTGTGATACTTATTCGCTGATAGTGGAAATTACCAGCTCTGGAGTTACCAGAACTGTCTACCAAGCGCCAACTTAAATCTTTAGTTATCGCCTGTGCACTAGAACCCCACGGCCCAAGAGTCTCTCCAAACAAAATCAAAGTTGAAGGGCTCTTGTAATTTTTGTCTTCTTTAAATGTACGAGATTGTCTTCTGTGATTTATTTACCTTCATAATCATTCTTTACTTATATGAATTAGGGTTTTCCTATTAAAACTACATAGCTGGATTAAAACTATGCTACGCTACCACGCTCCTCTGTCCGCTTTAAAAGCCAACTTCAACGCTGCTCCTTTATACGAATACTTACACAACTGCTTATTACTGCTAATCATTAAAACCTAGCAAGTAGCAGCCCCTTAATATAACTGTCTTAGGTGTCACTCATATACTTAAGTAAGTACTAAAATTGCATTTAAAATATCGAAACAACTCGTAATCCAAAATCAAACATTTTATATAAATGTTTAATATAAACCCTAAATTTAGTAAAAACAAAGTGATATACGTCATGAATATTATTGATCCTTAATCCGTAATTTCCACTTATTTTTCTATTTAAAGCCATTTTTAATGTAAAAATGGTTTAATTAGCTACCCAAAGATCGCTTTACAGAGGTAAGTACTTACCAGTACTTTAACGCATTTAATCATAAACAATTTCAAACGTTGTAATTAAAATTATATATTGCTACACGGTAAGTGTAAATGGGAAATAAAGAATCGCATTTATCCTTAAAAATATGTAAAATTCTCTGTGTTTGTTACCAAACTCCTCCGAAACGGCTTGACTGTGAACTATTTTTATATTTATTATTTATACCCCAACATGATAAAGGTGGCTGACACTTTATTTCTGATTAATAAAATCAGTGGCGCTACAACCTCTTTAGGTCTGGGCCTCAGGTTTCTGAATCTGTTTCATGATCATTTTTTAGTCTAATAGGCAAGTAGGTGATGCCTTCTGTGCCTGACACACGCCGTCGACTTTTTGGGTCTAAGACATGTCGGTTTCACGATATTTTCCTTCACGATTCGAGCGAATGTTAAATGCGCACATAGAAACAAAGTCCATTGGTGCACAGGCGGGGATCAAACCTACGACCTCAGGGATGAGAGTCGCACGCTGAAGCTACTAGGCCTACACCGCTCTAAATAGCGATATTAGTACTGTAATAATCTTCAATTGGCAATATAATGCTTGCCGGGTCAGTAATATAAAATTATTACTAAATCGCTTTGTCTCTAACAAAATTAAAAAGTTCCGACGTGTGATATTTTTTGCGGACTATTTCGGTTTGTTTTGTCAGATCCTCGGGAAACTATCACGTTACCACTTTGATGCCGTTTTGTGAAATAAGCGCAAACGTTTGGACATCTTTGATTTTCTAAATATCAAATAACATTATTTTCGTCCCAAACCAATTAGCAGAAGTAGTAATTGGTATTATCAATTACGTGATTTTATGTAGTACATACTATGACTCAACTCACCATTTCATACTCATCGTAAATTTTTAAGAATTTTTTAGGTATAACATTAAAGAATAGGGCAGTTATCATCTCTTAATAATCGAAAAAAATCTTTTGTTTCCAATTTTTAAATTATACACGCTAAATGCTTTGGCTAGGTGCCAAACATGGATAGAATGTAATTTGTAATCACAACATAAGAAATCTCAGTCGAGAGATCAGTAAACGCATGATGATAGCCTTAGTAGATATTTCGGATCGCGACTTCTTAGAAAGAATACCATGCTTGTTCTGTACAAAATTCTGCCAATATGGTTCTGAAAGCTGGGCCCTTAGCAAGAAAGACGAGCTTTCTCTCCTTATTTTTGAGCGGAACAATCTTCTACAAGAGGCTGTATAGCCATTGATGGTGATGATATGATCAGCGTTTAGCGTGTTAATTTAACGAAATTCTCAGTCTCATAAGTGAAGCACTAAAACGGAAACTAGAATTTATATCGAGAGATATCAGAAAATTAATTTGTTTTTGATATATAAATTACTTGGACGCAAAGAAAACAATGTAACAAATACATATATTATTTATTTTACATATGATCATTTTTAGTTTAGCATTCTATCGATCACCGTAAACTACATAAATGCAAATATTATCGTTATTCTTTCGTTAAACGCTGTATTTTTCCCGTTTTCGCTTTTCCTTATTGCAATCCCACCCAAAAATTTTGGTTAAGTCCGACTAACCCGACCGCGTGGTAACACGGTAGTATTAAAAAGATCTAAAGGTAAGATTCATAGACGAGACTTAGTGGATTTCCGTTGGTAAACTGTTGGCAAAAATGTATTGGTTTTTGACATTCGGGAGTCACAGGTCTCGTTTCAGAATCGCACTCTATGTGCACAGATGACAGGAAGAGGTTTTATTATTACACTTCATAGATTTTTGATATATAAACCTTCCTCTTTACTTTAAATTTACGTAATAAAAAATCTGTTGCTATAAGAAATCTTAGCTTAGGTCCTTTGAATATATATTTTCTATACAATTTAAATATTATGCATGACATCCGAAGAATATGCGTTTCTCGTTTCATAATAATTCTCCTTATATCCATAATTACAATATGTATTAGAATACGAAGGTTCTGCCGCTTCATCATAATTTCTCTCTTCATAATCATTTTCCGAAAAGTCCTGTTGATAATTTTCCTCGCCGACATCTCTTTGGGAACTTCGGTTTGTGTTTTCGTTATTTAGATTCCATCTTTGCGAAATTGTGCAGCTGAGCGCGCCGCCATTTTGAAATGTAAATGGCCATGCCTGAAACAAAACAATCTTTAAAACAAAATTGTTTCATAATATTTAAATAATAAGATTTTTATCGAGGTAGACCTATTTGTTTTTACTCCGGCTGAGTTCACACAAGCTGCTTGTTAGTAGCTATAAGTTATTAGTTATAATAGGTATGTAGGTAGGTATTTTTGAAGTATATACTTTTTTACCTTAAACCCCCCCCTTGTAGAATTATTGTGTAGTTCTATCGTATTAGTAATAAGTGTAGAGATCAATATTTATGTGGACTATAAATAAATATATAACTTCTTGGTTTTTCCGTGATACTACACATAAAATTCCTTTCTATTCCTTTATATAAATTAAGGATATGAGTATATCAAAGGGTTTGAGTTACATTTCCTTCGTGTGGTATAAACAATAAATAATATTCGTAGGGACCTCACACAGTGCCATCGGATATCATAAGTGTGAAAAACACTTGTTTGACCCTTCCATAAACAAATAAACATGTGTCCGGCCTATTTTTATGAATTTATGTATAACCAAAACCATAAACTATGTCATTAACATATTTTCAATAGATGCTAAATGCATATGCGTATTCATTTATATTAGGAAAATCGATAGGAATGTAGAATTTTCTAAGACGTATCTTGACTTAGCTAAATTATTTATGTTGCAGTAGACTAAGTAATAGAAAATATTAAATCCCTTCAAAACCAACTTTTTACAAAAGACGTCTAACGTAAAGCCCTAAATAGAAGAGGCAGTGTTTCACAAATAAAATATGGATTTAAAAAAAACTATATGGGAAGGACCAAGAGGAAGAAGGAGAGGGCGCTCTAGAAAAGGGTAGAAACGAAGAAGATTTAGAAACGAATGGAAAAAGAATATCATACATGCAGAGGTTTGTTAAAAGCTGGAGAAGAGCTTAAACTGGCTGCTGTGGTCTCTGGCAGAATGACCAGCGCTGTGGAACAGTCTGCTCCTCAGCATAATGCTGAACCAATTACAACCACAGCACACACTTAAACGTACCTTGTTATTTAAAAGAAAAAAAATGTTATCTTTCATTATTTTTATACTTTTTTATTATTGTTATTATGTGTGAAAAATGTTACATCGAGGAATAAGAAATATACATACAATTATTATAAATGTAAATTGTATATTGTAGGTAATTGATTTGAAATAAATAGGATTTATTAATATTCATAACAAAATAATCTCATTGAACCGCATTTAGGGACTTACTTATCAGACTCCTTTTATAAGACGAAAGATTACTTGTGTAAGAAAATAGTTATACTGATAAAGTTATACGAATACGGATCTTAAATAAATAAATAAAAATTATAGATTGAAGTTTTAAATTTAATTCTTGTTAAATAATAGAGTCAATTTATATTTATTAGTGTAATTTGTTCCATATTTTTGCGCGCTTTCCCGATACAAAAACTGTCATTTTTAATTTTAAATATTCTACCTTATTCCCAGAGGGGTAGGTAAAGCTCCCTTTGCTACGGTCCTGACATACATCTCTCTCTTCGTCCACTTTCATGACATTCACCAAGCATGCTCTTCGGGAACCTGGACCTTGAGAACTTCAATATAAATATTTTTAATAAGTCCTTAGGTAGGAGCTATATTATAATTTTTCGTCCCTTCTGTCGAGGCCAATAACAATTTTAATGAATAAAACTCTGCTTTTAAATCTGCCTATCCACCTGTGCTGCTTAGGTGGCATTAATTAATGAATTAATAGCTGATAGATTGATACTATTATTTTTTAATAATAACGTTCTACAATTTTAATTTTTTTTTTGCAACCATCCACGGTTGCCTATATATACTTGTTAACCGCTTCTCATTTAAACATGGCCACAACACCTAAGCATTTCCTTTGGTATCCTCGTCACTACAACCTCTTTTAACCCACATTGCTCACGTATCCCTCTATTAGTACACACATACTTCTTAACGCTCTCATTTCCACGCCATTTATTCTTTGTACTTTTATTCTGTATCTGCCAAACTGTATGAACCAAGGCTGTACATTTTGCTCACTCAGGCTTTCTTAGGTTTATAAGCGTGGCCATAACCTTAATCATCGGAATGAGCGGTTGAGCATAGGGGCAAGTTGGGCAATCGAAATATCTCGGAAACTATTCACCTTACGCGGGGAGTATCAAATAGCGAAAAGAAGGAGCCGTAGGAGAGGTAATCATCGCACGATAGCTAGTGGCAGCTCGACGCGCCGACGAGTGAAGTGTCACGGCGTTTTGTTTATTTTGTGACCAAAAAGTAAAAACATTGTTTATCGCAAGTTTTCGTCTGTCTTTGTCAAATGTTCTCTGTTTTCAATCAGGAGAGAGGAGTGTTAATATCAGAAGATTATTGATTGTTTTTGATTTGTAAATAGGTTTTGGGTCTAATTCTAGGCATTTATTTACAATCCTTACTCTTTCTCTTTAAAATTCCGAGTTGGGGGTAAGTTGATGGCATACTATAGCTCAACTAACCTCTACGACTTAAACAAACTGATGAGTAATGAATCCTTTATATTTTTGTTTGAATGCGGACTTACAAGAGGAAGACTACAAGATGTTCTTACACTACTGATCTTAAATAATGCTGCAAAGGCTGTCCACGATGAGGGAAAGTTGAATACCGCCCCTAAAAACTCGGTATTGGTTGACTTTTAAATAAATAAAATGAAGGCGATGATTCATTTATGGGCTATACAACACCGAGGGAAGGTATATCCTCTCTCACAAGAGAACTGTTGAAAAAATTCCTGCTACAAATGGCATTTTTCTCCAAAAGACGTTCGTGCCTTCTAAATGTGCCTAAGAGTGTGCTGAAATTCCACCAAGCTGAATTGGAAAAAGATTTCCGGAAAAGAATGGTTGATGATGTTTTAAAAACAAAAAAAATCGTAGCTATCCATACAGAAACCAGAACCCACCAGCCTTGGTAATCTTTTTTTAGAAATTATCGGAAGTAATGGATAGATATGGATGCTCATGTTTTGTTGATTCTAGTTTCGGTTAATTATACAAAGAAAATTTCTTTAAATTTTGTTGTTCTGTCAATAAAAAGACTGTAAATAAAAAGCTGACTTCTAACACATATTTTATTTCATCTCTCAGTTAACATGAACCCTGGTTTGGCCTAGACATTCTTAGTGCTCAACTTGCCCCTTATACCCTTGCTCAACTTACCCCACGGCATGGGTTATTCTACTTCTTTCTGCATTTAAACATCTGTAGCTATTATATTGGACTTGTTACAAAAATACTATGGACACTTTTGTTAAGGGATAAATTACTAATCCATCAGACACATAACAACTCATTGAGACTTATTATTGAGGAGCTTTCAGAGCAAGTGCTATATCCAAGCAAGTGAAACTTGCTCAACTAGCCCGCGCCTAGCCCTAGATATAGCCAGAGGCATGAACTCACGTCCACATTTACATTACATTCATACGTACATTTTTTCCACATACATACGTTTCATAGCAATAAGCTATGACATTATTAAATGCATTAAATTATTGCGCATATATTCTATTGTACGCGAGTGGTTAATATAGAGTAAATATAATATCCTCTTTTATTAAAACCACCCCGATGACCCGTACCGTACACCATTCATTAACAAACTGTATACCTTAATGTCGGTATAAGCACTTCCCTATCTCCGATTGAGCCTCAATTGAGATTTCTTGGCTACACATAAAGGAATGTAACCCAGCTAACTAAAAGTTTTAAACAAATTTCGTTTAATACTGTCAAATCAATCGTAATGTTTTTTCCGGCTATACTTTTGTTTAAAACCTCAAGGCAAGGAACAATAAAAGTTGAGCATCTCTTAACGTCCGGAGATAAATTTTATTTATACCAGTAACAGCTGCAAACTTTTGGTCAGCGCGCGCGCAAACGACTGTTTGTTATTGTTATCTTTTTGTTTCTATCTTTGTTCGATACCACGTTTTGAAATGTTTTTCTACCCTTTATCCATCTATATAGACCATTATTTACTGACATATTAAAAGATATAAAAGGCTCTAGAAAATTGTAGAAAGTTATTTAATTAAAAAAATAATAGTATCAATCTATCAGCAGTTTTAGGCACAGCTGTGTTAGGCAGATTTAAAAGCAGAGTTGAAATCATTAAAATTGTGATTGGCCTCGACAGAAGGGACGAAACAGTATAACTCCTACCTAAGGACTTATTAAAAATATTTATATTGAAGTTCTCTAGAACTGGAGTTCTATTTCTTATACGTAAAAGATGTATTTGTATGATACAAATAAAACAACAAATGCGTCGATTCAAACTCCGCATCCTTCTACGTATCCTTGTAATGGTGAAGGAATTTATATAACTTTATATTTTTATGATTTTTTTTGCACATCTGTTTTAGCATGGGTTATCTGGAAGAAATGTAGATATAACTTCGTCGTTTTTAATGTTTATTGTGGGCAAAAATAATATAAATAAATGAAGATAACAAACAAGCATACAGTTACGAAAAAAACGCCTTTGGTATAAAAGTTATATTCAATATAGTTTTCCTAAATCTATAGTCGGCAACCATAACCACAAAACCATAAATTTAAACGATGAACGAGTAAAAACTTAACCAAAATTGGTGTTTATATAAAAACTAATCCTACCATTGATCAATCGCTTCGCGGAACGTGCCTCTAATCTTCCGTTGACAGAATTTAGTCCCGATGGCGTTTGGCAAAGCCAGTTATTTATTGTCACTTTATAAATGCTAGACTCGACGACAGATAATAAATTATCAACAATTACTCGATCAGCGGTCTATTAGTTTTGTTTAGAGAAATTGTACTTTGAAAATATATTAGGTACGAAGTTCTAATACCAATTTAAATTTAAATTGATAACAATTATAAAAAACAAATAAAATAAATCCTAAGGTCTATGACTTCTGCGCATCATGACACTGAAATCGGCTCGTTTCCCGGACACTAAAATATCAAGTAGGTTGGTTATGCTCTCTTATCCTATCTTTGCTGAATGCATAGGAAAATTCAAACTGGGGTTGAGGCACCCTATATTGATATATCTAGATTATATTTGCCTATATAATCAAGATATATCAATAACCAAGGTTGTTAAGTAGACGGAGAGCGTAAAATAACACTAGGGAAATATTTTTAGCCATACTAACATCGTTCTTGTGGGATAATTTCATAACGAAATGGTAAACTACTAATATATTGTTTGATAATTTTCTATGGGTATACAAAGCTGGTCAATATCCTGGTGGATACGATAATTTCGATACATAATAGCCAATATTTAATATATAATTTTACGGCCCTGTAACGAAAGCTGGTTGTGAATAAAGATATAACCGCCGCCGCACACATTCAACGCCGGGGGCGTTTTCTTGAAGGCCCCTAAGTGGTATTGGTTGGTAATTACTTCTACTCGTAGCTGGTTCTACAAAGAATTGGTGCGCGGCAGAAAATGCCTTTAAAAGTGCTGTGTTAGGATCGCCAGACGTGGAGGTGAAGAAGATGGAATTTGGCATTCTGCGTCGCCGATAGTGGAATTCAGCCGCAGACCCAACAATTCTTCAGAGGCAATTTCAATATCAAACATTTAAATACTTACCAAATTTAACGGATGTGGCGGTGTATGCTGTGAGCGTGGCTCGTGGAGCAGTGCTCGTAAATGAGCTATATACGACGCAGCTAGTCGCAAAGTGTCCAGCTTCGATAGCTTGGTGTCTGCCGGAACCCAGGGTAACGTTGTTTTTAATCTTATGTAATAAAAAACATTGCTACAATAACGCATTAAGAACACAAAAGAAATGGATAAGGTTAATTTTCTTAAACTAGCTATAATTTACTCAAATAAGATTAATTTTGTAAACATAAATCTTCTGTGTGTATGTCTGTAATTAAATTCCTTCTAAACGTCTGAGCTATTCTGATGAATTAATCAATTTTAATGTGTGTTCAAGTGGATTCGAGAATGGTTTAGATTTTATTAGATTTGATTATTATTTTTTTGTATTTACCCGACAACGTCTGTTGGGTCTGCTAATAATAAATTAAATGAATGAATGTGTATTTTGGGATTTCTAAAATAATTCGAAAAAATTGTGAACAATTTAATTATAAGCCTTCTTATTATGTTTTATTTTACTTTACTATCAATATTCATCGGAAAATTTGTTACAGTAGGTACTTTTGCTAACTCCGTCGGTTTTCGTTTATAGAACAAATGACAATAAAATATTTAAGACAAATGTTTCACATATTTTTTTAATGTAACTGAAGTTTTTTTGCTGTTACGGAGAACTGTAAATCTAATTCGTTTCAAACTGTTGAAAATTTGGGTTATTATTTTAGTAACAAATCGTTAATACTATATGTCTACTTAATTCTTTAAAATATTCGTTAAATAATGGTTTGTTTATACATTTTCTACGTTCTAGTTTATTCGGTTTCAACTCCACTTTCCTTAAAAATGGACTTACCGAAAAAATATTTCAATTAAAACCAAAAGTTGTTTAAATTAGCGTCAACTTAAATAAAATTTAAATTATAATTTGATTTTTAATTACACGTTTAATCCGTTTTTAATATAATAAAAATCAAATATAGAATAAGATAGAATCTTACCGGCAGAATGCCTTGGATAATACTCGCATTCGAGCTCTTTCCCTGGCATTAGCTGCGTTCCTGTGTTGAGGTTCCTGGCCACTTCTCCCTGTTGCAATTAAATAAAGTAAATTAATCTTTATCTAGACATTTAGAATACTTAAAATTAAAAACACTTTCTTAAATAAGAGTTTTTTATCGTTTCGTATTTGATATTTAAGATTAATAATGTATTGTACACGTCCAATACATTTTTAAAAATATTTTCGATTTTAATTATTGTTAAAATTTAACGATTATTTTACAGAATATTTAATAGCAAGGTTAAATAAAGGTCAACTGACTAATTAATGTGCAACACAGTAAATTTTAATGTTCATTCTCAATGGTAATTACCATCTACCATCTTTATAATAATAAACATCTAAATAATAATACAAATAGTAACTGACTTAAATATATAAAAACTATAGATAAGTAATTAAAACGCGTACAACATTTTTAAACACCTTTCGAATTCAATTTAAAATTAATAATATATTTTTACTTTGTTCCAAATCAAATAGAGAATTAGTAAAAAATTAATGAAATAAAAACTCTGGTAACCATGGGATAGGCACACGCATTGGACAAGGTGAAAAGAAAAAAATAGTTCCCCACTAATGACTGGGACCACACTCCCGTTTGATAGGAGCCAGAAGAGACAGCTTTGGTCTTTGTGAAAAGAAATACGGAACATAATTTAACTAAGCACTGGATTAATACATCTGTTGAAGTGTAGTATATTGAACGCTATTATTATTTAATAACTATCGCACATGAAAATATATGAATATTAAACATACCAGAACTTGACTGTGTATCATCAAAGAAGAAGTCATCGTCATCATCATCTTTCTTATCAAACGAGGGTGATTTATGTACTCTTTTACGTGGCATTTCACAAAAATCACTTCACTACACAATCAAGTCATTAAGGGGTGTTGTTCCTTCGTGATGAGTACCGTGTATAATTCAAGATGCGTCGGCGCAGGGCGGGCGGCGTTTTGGGCGGCGCTGATGTAAGCCCCGCCCGAATTTCAGGATTATTTATTGGGCTTGTAAAATTTTATTTCATTATAGCCAATACGTTAATTTTGAAACAAAATATTAATCAGTAGTTTAGTTACACTTAACGTTTCATTGTTAGAAAAAAAGGACAAATGAAATGTACGAGTATGTTATCTATTTTATTGTATTTAAATAGAAGAGCTGTGTTGGCTTAATCGTACCCCTCTCATTCCCGAGGGCGTAGATTCAAACCCCGGCTTTTCAAAAACCTTTCTCTTTATGTGGGCATTTAACACTCGCTCGTGCGATGAAGGAATCTTGTTAAGGAAACCGGCATGGCTTAGACAAAAAAGTCGACGGCGTGTCTCGGACAAAGCTAATCAACCCCTTGCCCAGTAGAAAGAAAAATGATCACGAAACGGAGACAGAAATCTGACGCGAAAGTTGTAGCTCCACTGGTTTTTTTAAATACACAAATTCTATACCAATGCTAGATTCACTTTTGTTCGCGTTTCTGATTTCGTATAATATATACAACATCTTAAAAACAGACCATAGAGATCGGACCTCATAATATGACATAATGCTATGATTAATTTTGAAGGTATCTATAAATATATAACAACCAAGTAACATTTATTTATTTCTAAAAAGGCACCAAATATTTCCCTGGTAGAAACAGATTTTATTAGAAATTTCAACTGTCGTTTTTTGTATTCATCTTTACTTATTAATTCTGTTTCCAACCAAAAACTTCCACTTCTTCCACAAATATTTCAAGATCATAATTAGCTAAATGGGTCCAGCCATTCTCGAGTTTTAGCCAGACAAACGAAAACCAAGACATTATTTATATAATATATTTCTCGCTTGATTATCGTAGTATAATAATTTATACGTAGACTCCTTGAATGGAGACCTTGGAAGAACAAAAAGGCGCGCGGCAGCACACCGACTCGGTGGACAGACGTCAAGGAGGTTGGCTCCCAGTGGATACAGAGAGACCAGTGCAGGGCGTACTGGAGGCAAATGGAGGAGGCCTACGTCCAGAAATGGACCAAATAAAGAGGCTGATGATGATGAATAACTTCTACTCTTATAATCATAAATGTTTTATTTTATATCCTATATACCTACGGCTCGCTTATCTGCTACCAGCTACCTTTAATAGCCTATCTCGCTCTTACAATTTATGATATTAATCAAAACACACAATAATCTTCTTGCTTACCGTAATTTCGTTTATTGCGCTCTTAATGTGGTTTAAATGTCTATTTAAATTTTGTTTGTTTGTGATTATATTTGCTAATTTGTAATTACTATGTTCTAATATAATTGATGTGTGTGTGTGAAATTTATGACGTCATATTTTCTTGCATTTATTAAGCATTATTTTAGAACTTATAAATAATTTTAAATGTATACAATCTACTTGATGGTTTACGATTTACGTAACTAATTTCTCATCACAAAACGATTGACAGTTCGGTACGCGGGGTCACATCCGTGGAATTCAATACTTTTTGACACCACGTGCTACACACACCACTTACTTTGCTTCTAATAATTAAAATAATCGCTACCTCTGTGATAGTCTGAGTTTATTCGTGAATTCTGAGTAGACTTTTTGACAAATAATATAAATGTATCACTCAAAGAAGAAAAAACTACTTTGATGATAAGTTTGGTATCAAACATTGTATAATAACATTAATATACCTCAAAGACGTATTTTTTTTTTCGCTAGTGAGTATACGCTGTAAAGTCTGTATATTTAGATTATTTATGAATACGAAATTGAATTTCGAATATTTTTTGACAGTGACAATTGTTTTTTATGAGAATAAAATAAACTTCTTTAAAACTAAAAACTTCGCTTTTGCTTTATTACAAGTAGGTAATATATTTTACCACGAATGAGTATTAACAATATCTTCCTATTTTCTTTTAGCCAAAATCACTTAAATAATGTCCGTTCTACAATTTCAATTCACATTGTCACCAGGCAATTTTTTTTCATTTACGTTTTTTCATTCAATCCTAATTGTGGAAGTGATCAAGTACCAGTCAACTTCCAGCCGAGGTGTGAAGATTGCGGCAATTTATAGGATGTTGCTAGGGTTGTCATATATTCTTAATACAATTTTTAAATTTAACTGTTTACTATGAATAAAATAATATATTTATACAATAATGTTGACCTTGGGTTCGTCTACACAACTTCGTAGGGGAAGATCGTTCCCCTTTTTTCGGCGGGGGGGTCTCTTACACCGAAAAAAAGACTTCGATGTTTTTACGTAATACTTCCAGCACGGAAGGAGGGTCCTCTTTTTATTTACATCTTTACATCCATTTTCCTTCCCCCCGTTTGACACCATCCCGATGTGATTTATTTAGTACCTAACTATTAATTTTGGTTTTTTAAGAAACTATGTAATTTTTGTTATATAATTAAATATTTTATTTTTGTCTGCTTCAGTTTTAAAACTTAGTATATACTAGCAGTTTATTTTAATCAACAACATGTCACCATGTAACAAGTACTAATATTTTTATAACAACAGAAATGTAATTAATACTTTTACAAAAAAAGTCCTAAAGTCGCAAACTCCTCTTTAGTTTATCTTTTATTTAAATGTTATAACTATATCCGGTCCATTTGTTGATAACTATTAAATTGGGATATTCATATAATGGTATATTACGGTGAAAATAAATTATATTCACGGAGATCACGACTAAGAGATTTCTCCCTTCCTTTAAAAAAACCGCTTGAATTGTATTTTCATTTCCCCTATGGTTTAAGAGCCTTGAGCATTTTGAAATTGTGCATCAACTTTAAATAAGGTGTTTGTATGTCCTAAAGGCGACTTTCGTCTTATTAATTATTAATGGTTAGAATAAATTTATTAATTTTAATAGCGACATCCCTACAGATCCAGGTGTAACACATCATGGAATGGAGTTTACCCGCTCTGTTCATTTTAAGCGCCATCCACTTTGACTTACGGCGATGCCCTAATGTTTTCTTAACAAATATTATTCTTTCTACCACTTACATGAGTAATATTTATTTTTAAACGTATAACTATTAATTAGCCTTGAAATTACTTTGGAATAATAAAATACAACATCTTGTTAGGTGTAGACGATTCAAATAATAAAATAAAAAGACCTTTATCAATAACCTGTATAATCTGTGAGGAAGATATTAATGATTAAGTAATAAGTAACCATCGATTTTTTTTTTAATTTTAGTATTTTATCCCATTTTTAAAAACAAAAAAGGAATTAGTTTCTATTAAGATTATTAAATTGAAATGGCAGTAGGCAGTCTAGACCACTGAGTACTGACGCCATACACTATGTCAAATATCGAAGACATTTGAAGCTTGACAGTGGCATTAACCATTAAAAAAACAATAATTGTTTGTATAATTTGTAGAGAATTTTAATTTACTGCAATTAATGCGTTCTGTATCAATGATTATAATTATTCGATGAATGATAGTAGTAATGAATGACGATTGTGGCATAGTTAATGAATTTAAATAATGTTGCCTGGGATAGGTGTATTCGGAACGGGCGCAGTGGCCAAAGTATTAGTGCCATTCCTTCGTGAAAAGGGTTTTCCTGTGGAAGCTATCTGGGGTGTGACACTTCAAGAAGCCGAAAATGCTGCAAAAGATCTTAAAATATCTTTTTTTACAAACAAAATTGACGATGTTTTATTAAAGAAAAATGTAAACTTGGTATTTATAGTATGTGCCCCCAATCTACATGCTCAGATATCAGTTAAAGCACTTGGTATTGGGAAACATGTAGTGTGTGATAAACCAGCTGGTCTTTGCCAGGCTGAGGCCCTAAAAATGGTGCGTGCTGCCCAGTATTACCCAACTCTAATCTCCATTATAAACCATTCTCTGCGATTTTTACCGGCTTTTACCCATATGAGGAAATGTATAACAGATGGTTACCTTGGAAATCCAGGTGAACTAACTTTAATAGATGTGAGAGTACAAATGGGATCTCTCTTGGGAGACACATACAACTGGTTATGTGATGATACAATGGGAGGAGGAACACTTACGTTAGTTGGAAGCCATGTAATAGATTTAGTTTCATATTTAAGTGGTCAAAAGGTTGTTAAAGTTCATGGTATTCTTAGAACATTTGTGCAAGAGACTTCGAAAATTAATGGTATAAGAAAAGTTACTGCACCTGACTTTTGTACATTCCAATTACAAATGGATAAAGGGTTATTAGTTACTGCAACATTAAACAACCATCTGCCTGGTGTGTGTTTTCATCAAGAGATTTATGTTTACAGTAAAAGAGGATATTTGGTGGTACGAGGTGGCGATTTGCATGGAAAATTGCATAAAACTGCAGTTAAAGCTGGTGAAGAAGAAAGTAAAAGAGCACAAGATAAGGAAGATGTAATCTATGTAGATATTGAAGATTTAAGTTGCACATCTAGTGTCATACCAAAGCCATACATCAAAGGACTTTGCAAATTGATAAGTGCATTAAAGGAAGCCTTTTTACCAGTCAAAGAGCAAATGGACTGGATAAAAGAACCTGTGAGATCAGCTGCAACATTTGAAGATGGGCAGAGAGTACAGGCTACAATGGAAGCTTTGCGGCTATCAAATGAAGATGGTAGGTGGACTTCAGTCCAACTTCTCACAGAAACTCCAGACCCTAATCCAGCATTTTCTGCAGCAGTTAGGCGTACAGCTATTTCATTACAGTAGTTATATAATCACAAATATTAGCCATTTATATGTGCCTTTTTTAATTGTGGACTATGCTGTTTAAATTTGCCAGTATTATTTAATTTTATGCCATATTGAGTAAGCAAGAAATTGTACAAAAAGATCTGTAGACTGTGATACACAATAATTATTTTGACAGGTTAATCATCATGTTTGTCAGTGTAGATCTATGTAAATACAATATATTTAGTATTATTTTGTTTCATTTAAGCAATTTAAGGATATATTGTGTAATATTGAATCTAATTAGGTTCAAATTAACCTCTAAATTCATACATGTAATAGGTTAAGGGATATATAAATAATACACCATAATTTATAACAATATTATAATAAATGCAGAGATAACAGTAAGTTTCACAATTCCACTGAATTGAACATTACACAACCACAGCATACACATCCACTAACTACTATGAACTAAATCTAACCAAAAATGTAATTCGAAGCGAAACTAAAGCTATCTAAATTTAATTCTCAATTTTGGCCAAAATATCAGATTCTCTAAAAAGGTGGTATTCCTTCTCGTCGCTTTCCAGCGAAACTTTGGTTCCTCCGTATTCCGGTAAAAGAACTCGGTCGCCTACTTTCACTAGTACAGGAACAAATTCACCATTTTCTTTTCTTGCTCCGGGTCCCACGGCAACTACTTCTCCGTGAAGCACTTTAGATTGCGCTTTTTCTGGTATAACAATACCACCAGCGGTTTTGGTTATTGCTTCAGCCCTTTTAATGAGAACACGGTCCAAAAGAGGAATAAGGCGTTTCATTGCGTTTGCCATTTCTTGCGACGATTGTTTATACTTTTGCTTGACGAGAAAAGTCAAATTCTAAAAATCGAAAATCTAGAACTTTCGTAGCCGGCTACTCAGAAAATTCAATAAAATTGCTATGAAAAAACTTGACGAGCTCGAAGTCCATGCGTTTTCTGTGTTGCCATTTAAGTTGAAAATAAAAACTATATTATTATCCTAGATACGTCTAATAGGTATATTTTATTTAAAATTACTATACTTACGAAGTTACGAAAATGAATATGTATATTTGGAAATACATAAAAAGTATAATCAAATAAATCAATTTTTTAACAATAAAGCGTCACCTTTTGGCTGATAGAATAACTACGAAACGGACTCCCTCGCGAAATGCACGTTAATATCCAAATGTAATTCAACATTTTCATATCTACTCCCACATAGATGGCGTTACTTGTCCAGAAAGCTAATGATCATTTTAAGTTATTATAACTATGGTGATGTGAATTATTATGATAATATGATTATATATATTTTAGCATCGACTTTTGTGTGAGGAGCAGTGACCGTAACCAAAAAATGTTTTATATACGTTAGTTAATCTATGTTATTTAAATAAAAAGCAAACATAAAAATCAGAAAGACAAGAATATAACTTTTAGAAATCAGTATAATATATATACTTAAGTAAAAATTGATTTTAATACTGCATCGAGCAATACAATAAAGATTTAACAATGGAGCTTTATTAGAAATTACTGAATCTGTGCCCATAACTGTCAAGTACGCTCTCGGCGCCGCGCTGTGACCGCCGATGGAATGTAGCCGGCGCCGGCCAGTCTCGGACACACCTGCGCACGCAGCATTTACTCAGATACTCACACATACAGATCTTTATTCGAAATAACCAACTCTTGCTTGTTGGTTCTTTGTATTATAAATAGTGACCAAAATTTTATTCTTCTACGTAGCATTAATTGTAACACGATACAAAATCATAGTAATCTGTAATTTTATGGTAAAGCACTGCAAGAGTGTATAGTAATCTCGGTTATAAGCTTAAAATGCGATATGCGATTTAGTTCAAAAACTACAATTATCGAAATGAAGTTTGAAGGATTAGAAACTAGACATTACAGCAAATTCTGAATCGGGAATGGTGTATCGAACTAGCGAACATTTAATGGATGCTTTATGCCAAATTATGGTAGGGGCGGAGTGAGGGGAGATAAAACGAACAATTAATAGCGCATGCAAGAAGTCTTCTTGTCTTTGGTTATCCCTATTTGTTAAACCATGTAAATTAGTCCTAAATACAAATACATGGACTCTGATAAAAAAATATCAATATATTGAGGTCATTAACTACTATTGTACTCGTACATGTACAACATACAACAAGCTCGCTTGCGTATCACGATTTATGGCTCGTTTCTTTTTGAGCCACAATGACATATAAACAAGTCGATCGCACCATTGTTTAAAATACCTTTTAACATTTAATTGACATGCAATATGATAGCGTTAGCCTATAAAAATATTGTATAGAAAGCAGAAATACTATATTCATTATTATAGTTTTAATAACTCTACGGCATACTTTTACTTTAGTACATAATATGCAATAAAATAACACTACACATAAGGAACTTTCCCACCAAAGTAATTATTAGCGTGTTGGATAATGCTTTTATTACCGCCTCTGTGCTTTGTGGTGATCTAAGCGTTCTTATAAGCAGACGACCAAGGTTTGTTTCCGGCAAAGGAGGAATTATTTTGGGTCAGCGCCTCGTATGCAACCAATAATTACCGCTAACGACTGCGTAAAAATTTCTATGAAAAATCTCAATTCTGTGCGTAGATTTTTTTTTTTGATACAAAGATTTACGCAGGTGTTAGTTTTGTATAGGTATAAAGTAGGAAAATAAAGCAGATCACTTCCTTGTCCTTATAACTATATCAATGAAACAGACGCAGAAATGTTCATTGCTTCATTGTATGTGTGAACAAATATGTAAAGTAAATTAACACGCAATGTTACAGCATACCCGTAGGATTTCATTGAAAATTTCTTGTTTTAAAATATTTAAAAGAAGCTGTATAAACCCTTTTCAAATGTATAGTAAAAGATATAAGGCGACTGGGTTCACACGGCTAAGTACGAACCGAATTTCGCAAACATCTGAATTATTCAGAAACACGTGCAACAACATGGTGACTATAATGTATATATTTTCTGGGAGAGAAATTCTATAGTTGATGTTAAACAATTATAACAGTATTAGCCATTTTATTTGCGAAAGAAGATTGTTGTGATATTTTTGATATGGTATACCTTTTCAAATAGAGCAGACAAAGAAAAAAATGCACAGTTGATTCAGTGTCTAACACAATCTGTTGACTTTTTTGGGTTGGACCCAAAGAGTGGAGGCACAGTTTCCTCACGATGTATCTACAACGTACGAGCGAATATTTGGTACAATACACGCAAAAGATGAAGTCAATTTAGAAGGTGGAAAGACCAAATTAAGGAAACAGCGGTGGTACATGGCAGAAAGTGGCACAGAGCAGACAGGATTGTCGGGATTTTGAGGAGGGTTTTGCAAAAAAAACGGCACACAGATACCTAAAAAGAATGAGATGATAGATATAGATAGTTTAAGTGTAAAAGTATCTGAAATAAAAGGTTATTATTATTATTCCCTTTTAAATAAGAACATAGTTCTACCTTATTTTAATAATTTGTTTGAACGTAAAAAACGCTGCGTGCGGACTGAAACAAAACTGTTGTGTCACGTATAAGAAGTGATTGTATGATCTACACATATAACTTGGAGTAATTAAAAAAATATTAAGACATGGTCACAACATAAATAAAAAGTTGCGGTATCGTGTAGTAATAGTCTTACGCGGATGTTCAAATCGTACAAAATAACACAACAAACAGCCCACATTGTAAAGGCTTTACCGCTAATTCCAAACCTCTTTCACAAGCTCTTATTTAGGGGTTATAAAGCCTAAATTCCTTTGATCGCACATCTATATGTTCAATGTGTTTTACAAGGATAAATCGTTGTTCTCACGGCAACACAGGTGCGCATCCGGCTATCTCAGTCCCACGGAATGCTGGATAGAAATCGCGCTCCACCAATTACAATGATTTTATAAAATATTCATTTATATATATCGAGATATAGATAATATGAATGCTGTTCTAATGATATAGAGATAAACAAACTAACAAAAAATTATTCTCATCAACATGAATCTGCGAGCTTTTTAATTTTAATTTTATTTTATTAATTTTTTTTTGTACATATTACTATTTTAAATAAAGGTTTATAAGATTTCGTTACGCGCTTCTTGCAATTTACCCATCATATTTCTTTTTTTAGTTTTTTTCCTTACTATGATTGCCTGGAAGATATCGCTTGTTTGCGATAAGGCCGCCCGATGCATCCCTTATAATTTTTATGTATTATGTTATTTGCTTTTTATTATATATTAACGTTACGAATTGTAAATACATAGGTACATAAATGAAATAAATTAGTAGTAGAAAGAAACTATACACAAATGGTTTGAACTGAATCGAATACGGACCTATTCGAAAAAACTCCTATCACCTTTATTAATATGGTAATAGAGTTCATTCTATGCATTTAAATATAGTTTTTTTTTATGTAATAGGAGGCAAACGGGCAGGAGGCTCACCTGATGTTAAGTGACACCGCCGCCCATGGACACTCACAATGCCAGAAGGCTCGCAAGTGCGTTGCCGGCCGTCGAGGTGATACGGATGGTATTTTGTATTTTGCCTTGACGTCCGATGATGAAACTCAGCTGCAGGTATTAGACCGAACAACTCCTCTGAACACTCTCCATGGTAAATGCGGTAGAAGATGCAGAGATACCCCACATCTCTACGCAACGCCAAGGGATCAAGCCGCACGGAAAGTGACTGGTCGTCGACGATTCGAACCGCTCTTCGTTGAATACGGTCAAGTGGAAGTAGCTGGTACTGGGGAGCTCCCACCCAGAGGGGAGAACAGTATTCCATGTGGGGCCGAATTTGCGCTTTATAGAGTTGCAAGCGGTGGCCCAAAGTGAAGTACCGTCTCGCCTTACTGAGCACACCAAGCTTTTTGGAGGCTAATTTAGCCTTTCCTTCCAGATGACCGCGAAACTGAATGTTATTCGATATGTCAACGCCCAGTATTCCGATGCTAGCTGAGGCTTTAAGGAGAGTGTCTTCAAAGAGGGGACGACAAAGGGAGATTTTTTTGCGGAAAACGCGCATACTTGTGTCTTTGGTCTAGATTTAGTCTACCCCAGTCCGAGACTTCGTCGTCCGAAGAGTTTCGACTTCAGACACAAGTTTGTTCCGGTACTCATCGACAACAGCCCGAGAAATACCTGCCCGGCCAGTGTAAAAAGTATCCCCAGTGCTGTCATCCGCATAGCAATGAATGTTGCTAAGCTGCAACATATCATTGATATGCAGAATAAACAAGGTCGGGGATAGGACAAAGCATTGTGGGACACCAGCATTCACAGGTTTCAGGTCGGAGCATGCTCCGTCGATGACGACCTTGATGCTCCGATCAGCGAGAAAGCTGGAAATCCAGTTGCATAATGTCTCGGGGAGCCCATAGGCTGGAAGCTTCGAGAGCAGTGCTCTGTGCCACACCCGATCGAAGGCTTTCGCTGTGTCCAAGCATACCGCCAGCGCCTCCCCCTTGGACTCAATTGCCTCGGGCCAAATATGTGTAAGGTATACAAGGAGGTCACCAGCTGAGCGACCACGACGAAAGCCGTACTGAGAATCGCTAATCAGCTGGTGGCCCTTAATGCTTTAATGCAATAAATATAGTTTTTAAAGTAATCAGCTATTGTCGTGACCGCCATCTTGTTTTACATTATTAATCAACACGCTGGCTTTCGGTCAGACAGATAGTTAAACGTTTTCGAAAATGCTTTATTTAAATCAAATCGCTAGCGAGTTGATTGAATATCGATATTTAATTAAATGTCTAGAGATTCAATTAACTCTCTGATTTAACTACTTTACTGCGACATATACATAGTTACATAGACGAGTCAACATATTAGAATAATATTCGAAAGATCGACCAGCATGTGAAAAAGCATTAGAGTGGGAAAGAAGTCAATTTTTTTATTTATCGTCCTTGTAATCTTTTGTCATAGCGAGGAAGCCATTCCATCGCTTTTTTCGTCCATTTATCTTTGTTACTAAATAATCTTAGGTCATTATTAATATATTGGGTTTTTACTTTAGGGTCTACAATAATTATTTAATAATAGTTAATAATATTCTTAATTGAGTTTTGAAAGTATATGTAGCAAATTCATTCGTTTCAACAAAAGCTTTAGGAATTCCTGCGTCATACAAATGTGTATGAGATGACATAGTAGACAATATAACCTAACCTAACCAAACATTCGATTAATTACTTGATATATTTTATTAGTATTTTTAAAGAATTAATTTGACCAAGAAAATATGTGAATTTTATTGCGAATTTAATTATACCTTTATCTTAATTTCGAATCGTTAGGAATTTTTTCCAGTCAAAAAACAGTTTGTTGCGGTTGTATATGTTACAGTTAAAACCGGTTTTTAGATAGAACGCGTTATTCCTAGTTAGACGGCGTTTTTACTAAACGCCTTTGTTAAAACTAGAATTAACTAATGCTCACAATTGAATATCAGTTAAAACTAGTTATTACTAGACAAAACGCGTTTTTTCGAAGTTAGTCAGTTAAAACTGTTCCGACCAAGGCTACTTTATTCTGCAGGTATGTACCTACCTATGTGTTGCTTAATTGTTATATCATATAATTATATTGCATTTAGGTAAAAGCTAACTATTTAAATATTGCTTTTCAGGTCAGAATTCGACAAGTGCAAAGAAAAATTTTTGCATGAAGAAGACGTTCCGAATACAAATTTACCTTTGAGAACTGTTGCTAAGGAAGCATCCATAGGAACAGGCCAGGGATTTATGCGCTGCGTATGTAAGAAAGGATGTATGTCAAAAGGTGTCTCTGCAAGAGAAATGGCTACCTTTGTAATTCAAAATGCCACGATAGTTTGTCTTGCAATAACAAGTAGATCGTCATCTTTTTTAATTTTAAGGTTGTTTGATTATTTTTTTATTAAGCTATTGCATAGATTTTATCGCGGGCTTTAAGCTTAAGCGCGGCGACCGAATCAAGAAATTCCGTAACGAAAAAAACCTAACACACGATGACGTAATATAGGTGCGGCAAATACCCGTTAGAGTGGGATAGAACGCATACTAGATTGAAATAATATAAAAGAAAAAACTTGAATTTATATCAAAGAAAACAAATACTGCATAAGTAAATAATTATAACTGCATAAGTTGATAAAAAATGCAATGCAATAGCTTTACCGCGGCAGTCCCCGAGTGCCACACTTTTTTTTTAGTGTATGTTTACCAATATCCCTTAAAAATATTATTATAATGTTCCTTTTTTAAATTTTATGGTTGTATTCTGTTGATTTGTTTGATTATTTTATTTACTTTTAATTAATGTTGTCACCTTGGCAACTACTTTATGCTGATGTTCCTTTAGTGTAAGTTTTTTTTACTAGGTACGGTACTATGTTTCTATACCCTAGATCTTTTTAATAAATATTTTTAAAACTTTATCTTGTTTTCAATCCCAAAATTCAAATTATTTTCTCTAGTGCTAGTTGTAACTAAAGCTCGGAGTGACAACTAGTTTTATCAGAAAATGAATTATATCAGTGGTAAATTCTAGTTTTCACTTGTTATTTCTAGTTTTGACAAAGGCATTTAGTAAAAACTATTTTTAACTAGGGAAAACGAGTTTTAACTAAAAACTAGTGTTAACTGTAACATATATAATTTCATTAGCATCACACCAAGGTAATTTAGACTAAGAAGCTATAATAATTCGATATATTATAATCATTCGATACGGTTTCGAAAAGAACTCTCGGGCCTTCTCCGCTCTCGTGATATCTCAAATTCTAGTACTTCTCAAAACTGTAGAACCTTATTTGTATACATTATTTATGAAGTGAAACTTCTTTAGGCGAATAATGAGAGAAATGAGGGTAAAATTTTTACGGATGAAACGCAATAATAATAAAATTAGCGTCACAAAGATGTGCAGCGTTTTTGTCGAAGAAAAGGGAGAGAGCGATTGAGAGAGAGTAAGAAAGGGCGAACGTAGAATGAAGCAAATAGCCATGGAGCGAGAGTAGAGAGCAAGCAAGTGAGGAAGATCGAGAGAGAGAGAGTGAGATTGAGCGAACGTCGCATCACACATAGTGCCATGGAGCGAGAGGTGGGAGAGAGCTATAGTGAGAAAGATTGAGAGAGAGAGAGAGGTTGATGTATTTGTTTAGCTTTAGTAGTTACATATTAGAACTTTAGATGGCAATTCTGTCGCATAGCGTCTTGTGCAGTAAACGCATATTTTTTATTTATTTATTATATCATTAGCACGTATACAGTGTGTAAACAGTGTGAATATTGATATACAAATACATGGAGTGATCATATACTGGTACATGATCATCTATTGGGGCTTCTACCTTAGTAATAATTAATTTACAAAGAAGTTTCACTTCTGACATATTGTGTACTTTGTACGCACGCACTTTTTTTTACTTGAGAATGTCAGATGACCTTGGTGACAGTGTCATATATATTGTTGATTCTTCCTAATGCAGTTCTTGAAATTTTATGGTTACGGTATCAAAACAAAAAATCCCACAGATTTATAAAATTGCATTATATGGTATACATAATGTGCGTTTTCCAATTACAGCACTAGAGCGCATTTTGCGGCATAATGCTCAACGTTGAGTGTTCCAACTACAGCAACGCTTCGCACAATTGAGCACTCTCAAAACGAATGCTCTCGCAAACAATACCAACACAGTGACAGAAAATTGACCAGTATTTTTCTTTAAGTTGGCATTTATCGAAATTTTCGTTAGTAAATATTATTTATTGTTGAAAAATTTGTAAGGCTTTCGTTTCGTCGTAGATTTTGAAAATAATTAAAGTTATTTCAAACTGCTAAAAAAATAAATATTAGTATGGATGAAGGTATAAATAGTTACTTTTTTTATATTCCACATTTAAAATATGAATACAATTTTATTTTAAAATTCGGATCTGTAAACAAATTTACTTAACAGGATTATACTTTAGAAAAAATTGCAATGGTTTTGAAAAAGTATATATTTTTTTAGAAATCATTAAAAAATATTACTCAAAACGTAAATGATGTAAACTTCTTACATGAAACTAAATATTTTACTGTTAATTTAGCTTGTTAAAACCTTATATTCTTTAAAGGTTTTCTCTTATTTCAGTAAAAAAATTTAATGAAATAATTTGATTATTAAATTAAGCGTAAAAAGTTTTCAACCAATTATTATTGTTTACCACATTATTTATACATTAATGAGGTTGCTAACTCTATTCAGACCATTTTTTTGTCAACACTGACTTAGCGCACTCTGCTGATGCATTTGAAAACTAATTCACGTTCCAATTAAGCTTCAGCATTATGCGGCATTGTGCGGCACTGAGTCGAAAAATGCTCTGTAATTGGAAAACGCACAATATGATTAGGCATAATGCATAATGGGGATTTACGTTTATTTGTTTTCATAAATCCAAGCTGCTATATTCTGTGGCAGTCTGGTGTATGACGGTGACAAGTTGACCTTCTGACAGCCCGCTTTGGCCCTGCAGCCTTATCTAAGCGCTGAACTAGGGATGTGACATTCTGCATAAAAAACGATTAATACATAATCTATTTTTCTTTAAAAAAATAATCGATTTTTCTTAAAAAAATAATCGATTTTTCTTTAAAAAAAATAATCGATTTGTTTATTAATCGATGTTTTCGAAATTTTTGAATTCATTTAAAAATAAACATCTTAAATATTTTATTTTTCATGGTTTTATTAATTAAAAATAAACAATATAAATTATAAACACAAATTAACGTTTAAGAATAATCAAAATCGAAATTAACCTAATCTCGTTTTGATAGATTTTAGGTGAAATTTGATAGATGCCTCAGTAGCACATTGCAGTATTTTTGTTGTCTTTTTATTGTATGTAACCTTGTGCTGCTGAATAAATTTATTTTACTTTTAAGTATAGTGTTCCATTCAAACTTGAGTTTTTGTAAAATTAACTGGTTTTATCATCCTTTCGATGTTTTATAAAAAACATTAATGCATCGAGTATATCAATACATCTTATTTAATATTAAATGTATCGCATTGTAAACATCGATGTATATCGAATATCTCTATAGTTCAGTTCGAGATCCGGGTTATAAAAGACTAGACCTAATGTCGGGATGTGGCAGATGAAAAATCTACCGAGTTGATTTTCTATTAAAATAAATATAAAAATCGCGTATAAAAATCGATTAAAAAAGATTTTTTTAATAATCGATTATTTTTTTCACATCCCTAGGCTGGACTCTGGAGGCCCTTCGGCTTTTGCTAGAGTTTTCACCGTTCGTCAGAACAATCAAGCAAGGGAAGCCGTATCCAATTTTGGCGAATATTTAGGAATTCAATCGTTAGTATTTAAATTTTAATGTTATTTCAAGATTTTAATCTGAAAGTTGAATGTAAAAAACACTTATTAGTAAGTCATGAAATAACTTACAGGTCGTGAGTTAATAAAAAAAACTTTCTTAAGTGTTATAAAACGTTATTAATATTTTTTTCAGACTTGGCAGTGCCTGACGATTTATTTTCAAACGACAAACCCAAGAATATTTTTATCACCAACATGTCTAATCCGATTGTAGAAACATCACAAGGAAAATTACAAGGGTTATTAAGTGAAAGTGATAGTGGGACCAAGTTTTATACATTTAAAAGTATACCATATGCTAAACCTCCAATAAATGAGCTAAGATTTTCTGTAAGTAACCTCTATAAATGAAATAGGTCTTATTAGCTTAAATCTTGTTACATTAATTTTGTTGTAATGAATTAAGATTTAACAAATCACATGGATAAATGATATTTTTTTGTAGTTTAAATTGTTATTGTGTAGTAGGTATGTAATTGTGTACAGTATTGTGTCTTATTATATTTATTTTGAATTTTTCAGCCACCTTTAGCTCCAGACTCTTGGGAAGGGGTCCGTGATGCTACAAAAGATTGCAACATTTGTGCCCAGTTTGACAAAGAGACAATGAATGTTGTTGGTGATGAAGATTGTTTATATTTAAATGTGTATACTCCTAAACTTCCTACGGATGGTGTGGCTCTACCTGTGATGGTATTTTTCCATGGAGGTGGCTTTGTGTTTGGTAGTGGAACAGATGACTCTATTCATGGAGCTGACTATTTAGTTGAAAAAGATGTGGTTGTTGTATCTTTAAATTACCGTTTAGGTATATTAGGATTTCTATGTTTGGGTACTAAAGATGCCCCAGGAAATATGGGTCTTAAGGATCAAGTACAAGCTCTAAAATGGATTAATCAAAACATCAAAAGCTTTGGTGGAGATCCTGGAAATATAACCATTTTTGGCATCAGTGCTGGTGGAGCATCTGTTGAATATTTAATGCTTTCACCTATGGCTAAAGGCTTATTTCATAAAGCAATAGCTCAATCAGGATCCTCCTTATTGCACTGGGCGCAAACAACAAACCAGAAAGTGAAGGATCTAGCCCAAATTATACCAACATTAAAGAAAAAAATTACTAATAATAGCAAAGAATTATTAGAGTACCTCAAAGGGATGCCACTTGATGAGTTGATTCGTAATTCTATGCTTGTATTGGCTTTAGATAAATGGAGAGGTGGTATTCATTTTGGTTTTGTACCAACTATTGAAGAAGAAGGTGATTGGGAGCCTTTTATCACTAAGTCAACCTATAGTTTATTAGCGCAGGGTGAGTTTAATAAAGTTCCATATATGGCTGGTTTTTGTGACCGAGAAGGTCTTTTGATGGTGTCTCACGGTGGCCCTATTTTAGAAAAACTGACTGAGGAGAAAAACTTTTTATCCCACCTTCCTTTTGAGATTGATGCAACACAAAAGGTTGAGATGGAAACACTACTGAAATGTGTTTATATGGAGGGTGAAAAAAATTACAAGGATATTGATTCCTTTGCAATTGATTTCTTCTCAGATGTAGATTTTCTTGGTGGTGTTTATGTCTCCACAATGTTAATTGCAAAACACAATTCACCAGTTTACTTGTATGAGTTTGCGTATGATGGAAGTTTGAATTATTTAAAAAAGAAAATGAAGATTGATAGAGAAGGTGCATGCCATGGGGATGATGGGGGTTACCTTGTGAAGAGTAAAATCCTGAAAGATCCTTTATCAGAAACAGATATATTAGTGAAGGACAGACTATGTACTATGTGGACTAATTTTGCTAAATTTGGGTAAGTTTTTTTAAATCAACCAAAATTAACTGATAATAAGAAAAAAAAAAATCTGTCAAAAGAACATTTCTTAAGACAGATAAATAAAGAAATAATATATTGTTAACATATTAAATATGTTAGTTTTACCATACAATTATTAAATTTTAATAATTTCGCACATAAGTGTTAGTAAGCATCTATTAACTATTTTCAAGTGCACACATACACTCAAAATGATAACAATATATTATTCCTTCATTTATATGTCTTAAGAAATGTTCTTTTACGTGACACCAATACAACTTCAAAATCCTTAAATTTACATAAAGCTCAAATAGAAACTATACTTGCATTTATAAATGTTTATTAGATTTGTGTTTGCATGAGCTCAAGTTCTGGTTTGAGAGTTTGCTCATTAAAAATATGATACACAATAAAAAGAGTAATTATTAAATGTAATCTTCATAATAAAAATTATAATGCTCACACTGCCTCAATGTTACGCTTGTAGCCTGAAAGAGATGCTTAGTTCAAGACTGCCTATTGTTTTGTTTACATGTTTATTTATGACTACTCTCTTATTCTAAAAATACATTATTCTATTTTACAGAAATCCTACACCGAAGACAGACAATACTCTACCTTGTATATGGGAGCCTGTAGCCGAAACTGGATTGACATATTTAAAAATTGATAAAGATTTGACAAACAAACAAGAGTTATACCCAAAACGTATGAAACTTTTCAAAGAGCTGTATGAAAATTATTATAAATCTTAGGTTACGTTAATATCTTTTAATATATAAATAGCCTGTTCATGTTTATAATTAAACTCGTTCTAAAGGGCTGGACTGATTTTTGATGAGACCGATTGTTTAATTATATAATTTTAACATAAAGAGAAAACAAAATTAGCTAAAGAAGTTGTTAAAATTGTGTTTTATGGTTGGTTTACTTAATGGAATTGTGATATTAAAATTTATGACATAAAATAGTGTTTATAGAATCTGTTCATGCCTATTTACTTTAAGTATACGAATTCCCGTATGTGATTAAATGTGATTGTATCCAATAAATATTGGTAACAAAATTTAGTGAAATGGAATTTCACTGAAGGGCTCAAACTATTTTATTACAATTTGTATAGCATTGTTGTATATACAAAATAATAAGTAGACACAAAGTGTTTTTAGGAAACTAAATTTTATTGTTATGTGTACTGTATATTTATAAAATAAAGGTATCGTAATTTGAAAAATTAATTGTTGTCTACATATTGTATTTTGTGCAATATTTAGCACTTTTTTCTTAATAAAATTTTAAGTAATTTTTTTGTTTTATCACAATAAGAAAATAAAATTAAAAAAACAGATAGAACTTAAGATATCACATATATATTATATCTTAAGTTAGTATAATTAGTAACTTGAATTGAAACTTGTTCATTTGTGCTATCATATGCTGAACAGGGAATCTTACTCTGCAACTTCCAATAGCGTTACCGACAGCCCTCCCGATCCCAACAATCAGGATTTGTTCCATACGATGCCAAGGACATCAGCGGTACGGAAATGGAGACAACTAAATTCATAAACGTTGGAATTGGTATCGCTGTCGCTGTTAAAGTTATAAAGCACTAGCACATGATGCGCGGGCGCGTTCTGGAGGCTATTTTCCGAAAGAACTACAACCATAATATCTCCTGGATCGTAAATATTTGTCGAAAGCATTGACCAAGTGTTTTCTTAAGAATGAAAACGAATCATTGGGCGTAATTACTAGATAGTAATTAAGTATACACAATCCCATTAAGATAACCAATACTATAAGCGCATTTACTAACGAATATCTGCAGTTTATTCGTTTAATAGAAAAAATATATGTAACAATTCCCTACGCCTAGTTTTTTAATATGGAACCCGAGCGTTACATATATTGCTACGCTAATATAAATTATGTGCCTCAAATTTAAACCTCTTTTTAGTTTTTTCTTTACAATGAAGGCTTTCCGAAATGCTATGAATAAATAAACAAATAAAATTTTCATAATCAAATATTATTTTATTGTGCCACCGTGCTACCAAAAAGGTTTAGAGGCTTAGGCACTAGTGGAATGTAGGCTTGTATTGTCTTGAGTCTCGCAGGTGTGCGCACCGCGTGGGAACGCGATATTTAGATCTGATTTTCAGTGAAACCATTTTGCCCGATATTTTCTCAATCCTGTTTTAATAAACACACTTTGTTTATAAGTGAGTTTTATCGACTTCACTTTACTAATGAACGGTATACGGACTAATCGTTTGAAGTGGTTTTAGCCATTTATTGCGACACTGTAATATTATAATATAAAAAAATAAATCAGTGGCGCTACAACCTCTTTAGGTCTTCCTTCTTGGCCTCAGATTTCTGGATCTGTTTCATGATCATTTTTAAATCTAATAGGCAATTAGGTAATCAGCCTCCAGTGCCTGACCCACGCCGTCGACTTTTTGGGTCTAAGACTTGTCGGTTTCCTCACGATGTTTTCCTTCACCGTTCAAGCAAATGTTAAATGCGCACATATAAAGAAAGTCCATTGGTCTGGGATCGAACCTTCGACCTCAGGTATAAGAGTCGCACGCTGAAGCCACTAGGCCAACACTGCTTAACTATACTCTTATAAAAAATATAAGTAATATGATATTTCTATAAAAAAATGGAAAATACGTTATAAGCAAAATGATGAGTAAATACGTCCCATGCTCCAACAGGAGCACCGTTTAAGGATGTAAATAATTAACACTTAATCCAAAATACTCGCAATTATGAACCATCATTGAAAAGTTATTTCCAAGTATTTTTTACATCAATTATCAAATTGCTGACATTTGGCACCATTCATACTATAATGATGACTAGCATTGTACGCAATTGTACTTTTATTTGTTAACAATAGACCAATGTTGACATGTGCCTTAGACGACATACGGACCTATTCGAAAAAACTCCTATCACCTTTATTAATATAGAAATAGAGTTCATTCTATGCATTTAAATATAGTTTTTAATGCAATAAGTGCTGAGTCCATTTTTCTGTTCACAAATTGCATTGTTAAACAAAATTGCCACTTGTTACGGCTTGTGAGGGGTGACAACTGACAGCTATTTGCACAGCCATGTTTGCCATTTGGCGCAAACATGATACGTAATTTGCATGTTTGATATGCTCATAATGCGATTAATGATTGTGTTAGCAATTTTAAAAGCTTTTAAGGGTGAAAGGTACATTCCACTATTATTGTAATTGTTCTTGACGCCAAAACGGTTCCGACTTAGCATGACGTCTGAAGTATATTATGTAGTCGAAATTCTGGAACAACGGAGTACCTGCTTATTTAGATTTTAGTTTGTTAGATGAATGAGATGAAGACGCGAAAGATGTTTGTATACGCATATAAATTTTTAAGTCATTTATTTCATTAAAATTTATCAGTTTAGGGGTTTATCAATGAATGTTTAATTTTTTTTTAAAATTGATTTGCTGAATGAAATAAGAACGCGTAAATTAGTAAGTGTAAGACATAATAAATTGATAAATATATAATTTCGAATTCATAATTAAATAACATAGTAGGTTAAAAGTTTATTATTTCCTTTTGCACATTCACTTGTTTTACACAGAGAGGGACTTTCAAATTTGACTCTGATTAACGCGGTTTACCCTATATTACAAATAAATTCACATTCTAGTTATTACCGGTGACGTAAATGATGAAGAATATGAATGAACGAAGTACCACAAAAGCTACTTTTCGTATAAAGTAATTGCAAACCAACCACATTAAATCAACACAATTAAAATAAATCAAAAATCCCCGAATCACGATGAATTGGCGTTTTGTGTGTACATTTTTTAAGTAAACAAAGTGTAACATGTATTATTTTAAAAATAGTTAGGGTAATCATATGAAAATTTGTTATAGGTATATTTTATTTATAAATTATTTTTGCACAGTCAAGAAAAACTTACACGATCAATGTTTATGAAACCTCTTTTGGAAACAACTAAACTATGTAATTATACAATTAAATGCGTCAGTCCCGAAGCCCTTAATAGGCCATTTGACAAGATTTTTAAAGTCATTATAGATTATTCTCTATTAGTGACTATAGAACAAATGGCTATTTTTTCTATTGACATTTTGTTAAGTATTAGCATTAAAAATTTAAACTACTCATCCATAATTTCAAAAACCCGCCAAAACGTTTCTCTTTGTAAAATTGCGTCGCACCAGGGGGCTTAGACATGTATGAAAATGACAGTTCGTGTCGACAAATTTTCATACAAATTTAATTTTCGACTTCTACATACACTACTGTTAAGGCATCTTGACTAAACCCCCAGTCCCTAAGACGTACGTCAAGTTTTACTTGTTTATTATAATTCTTAAATTACACAAATACATATTTATTATTCCATCAAAAACAGTCTCCACTCTAATTAAATTCCAACATTTGAGAGAAGTAGAGGAATTAGAAAGGAGGCGTATTGTTTACAAGCATGCTACGTCATCGTCGATTCGACTAATCTGACTGTTTTTTTCGTCAATGATGTATAAAAATCAATATATAGGTATGTTATGTTTTGAAAAATGATTATTTATAAGTAACATTAACATAACTTTTTAGAGATTTCTTTAATACAGGTTACTCTTGTAAAACACCTTATTTTTCATACTGCCAAACAGCCCAGGCTTATCCCTTAGAGATATAAAAGGATAGTTGAAAATTTAGCCAAAATAAATCTCTATTATTAAGACCAAAGACAATACTTGTTTTTGCTTTTACTTTTATAGAAGTGAAGCTGCAGTCAACAGCTAGTTCATATCACATAATTGTTGTGACATAAGGTCAACACGTAGATACTGGATTATTATCTGAATATTTATAAAGATAAATTCAATTCATCACACGTAGTCAAATATTTTTTGTTCCCCCATGCTCGTTTATGGTTAGATAGTCAAGGTTCCTGAGTTCAAAGATGGAAGAATATATTAATAAGCTAATTTTATTTAATTTTAATTTAAGAATACAATCCGACTTAATTAGAAATAACGTATGGATTGGCGAAAGATGAATTTCTATATAATGTTGAACTATCGAATAATCTAGTCAATTAGTATTTATTTTTTACAATCTGTGGCAGATAGCATTAGCGCATGCGCATTGATATATAACGAGTTTTGGCGCCATTTATTCGTTTTAATATAATGTTTAATATTTTTGTGACACGAAACAATAAGCAAAATAAGTATAGTATTTTAAAACGATATCTGTACGGAAATTCGTTTTCGTTTTATTTGTTTATTTATTAAGTTTTTTTTTAATGGCTCTGGCACGATTTGTGCATTAGCCAGCGTCAAGTATAGGATTTTTTATATTTCGTGCTTGTCTTTAGAAACCGTGTGATAGACATTGTCCTCATGTACGGTTTAAGCACTCGCCCGGTACCGCACAACCCTCCCAAAGGCCGAGAACAAATTTAAATTAAATTAAAACTTGCCCTCGAACCGGGAATCGAACCCGGTACCCCTCACCTAGCTGCCACTTAATAAGACCGCTAGGCTATGAGGCCCCCCATTTATTAAGGTTACCATTGTTTATATTTTATATTGTTTAACACACACATTTGTTAATCCAAAAAAATCATATCTTTATAAGTACAAGCAGACGAAGGTCCAGACGAAATTTGGTTTAATATCATTTAATATTTTTATTAGCTCGAAGCAATATTATCAGTCAGATAAATATCTGAATATCAAATTTGAGTGATATTTTACGTAACTTTATCTTAACAATATCAATCATTGTGTTACTTTAATAATATTATATAAGGCTAAATTCGCATAAACCTACAAATATTAACATTTAGCATTAAAGGCCACAAACTTACATGTACATATTTTAGTTTTCTATTTATCCACTTTTAATGATTATTATTGAAAGTATGTAGGTAAATAATTTTGATATCAGCGTAAAATGTTCGCAGCTGTTCGTTTGTTTATAGATGTGGAGTAGTATACAGAACATTTCACTGATGAGTGGAATCATCTGGACCTCTACTAAATTGTTTCACAGGCCTTTATGGTAATCTCACAAAATCAGTATGCATCATGTTCCTTTCAATATTATTATAATAATATATTTTAGTTATTATATCTTAAGGTTAATTATTGTTTTCTGTTATTAATTAATTTTTATATATTATAATTATATTATAATTGTTATATCTATCTACTTCAATGTCACAGAAATGTTTTCAAGTGTTGGAACGAAATCTGCAAATTTTTTTATTTCTCAGAATTAGAAACGCATTAGAAATAGATTTAATATTCTGTTTTTTAATGCTGTTTCGTACTTTGTTTAACAAAATTTTCCATAGCACAATTTACAATTTAAATTTAATGTTTGTTCTATGTTTTCCATACTTATATGGTGTGTAGATTGACACCTGAAGGTGCCTGAAGTAACTACGCATTTAAAATATATTACGTCTAAATTGATAAAATAATCATACGTTCACAGTTCTTCCTGATATGATTAGCTCCAAAAACTTATTTCGTATATTTCATTTGCATTAAATAATTAATTGTATCGATTAAGACTACTAATTTATTTTTTGTTGTTCATGGTAAGCGTCTGCTATAAAATCTCCTGATTATTTTGAGTATTAAATTGGTATCCTACCACAAAAAATTTATAACGAATTTAAATATATACACCAAAATTTATAATTTTAAAATATTAAAACTTTCGTGACCTCTATAATTTAATTAAGACTAAAGAACTATTATTGTAAAAGATGCTGATAAAATTCCGATACTGACCATTATATGACCAGTTGGTAACAATATCGTTATTGTTATCGATTATGTTTGCATCTGCTTATCTCAACATTGACTGCATTGTTAGTTGTTCCATTTATGTTTTCATTAACACTTCTCCACGTGCCTTTGCAACCCATCCGAAGCTATCGGCTCGCGAAACGTCACACGAACGCACGACAATCGAGCACTTAAAGCGGGCTGAGAACGGTAACATTATTCAGTATTGATTGGGTCACAATACAGAATAGACAAGATAAATAAAATATCGATATGGCTAAAATGAACGGAGTCCCTAACGAAATCAAGACGTCCGCACTGGACCTCATCGGAGAGACACCTCTACTCGCCCTCGATCGCCTGCATCCCGGACCAGGACGAATTTTAGTAAAATGTGAATTCAATAATCCTGGAGCATCCATCAAATGCAGATCCGCATTACACATGATTCAAGAAGCTCGTGCCAAAGGCCTGCTTAAACCTGGACAACCTGTGTTAGAAGTGACCTCCGGAAATCAAGGATGTGGTCTCGCAATCGTGTGTGCTATTTACGGTCACCCACTCACCGTAACTATGTCGAAAGGTAACAGTGTGCAACGAGCTATTCACATGGAAGCTCTCGGCGCTAAATGTATTAGGATACCCCAAGTGGAGGGTACCTATGGTAATGTTACCATAAATGACGTCAAAGCTGCTGAAGACGAAGGCTTAAAAATAGCAGAAGAGATCGGTGCGTACTATGTAAACCAATTCAACAATGAAGATAATGCAAACTCCCACTACCTTACAACAGGTCCTGAGATTTGGAGACAGAGTGGCCACCATATCGATGCCTTCATCGCCACGGTTGGAACGGCCGGTACCTTCGCGGGTACATCGAGGTATTTGAAGGAGAAGAACCCGAACATCAAGTGCTTTGTCGTGGAACCCGAAGGATCGCAGCCTATTAAGGGGACCCCGATCACGAAACCATTGCATTTGCTACAGGGTTCTGGTTATGGGTGCATCCCAAACTTGTTCAAGTTTGAAACAATGGACGGAACTTTGAGTGTGACTGATGAAGAAGCGGTGGAGTACAAGAAGCTTATTGGCGAAAAGGAGGGTTTATATGTTGGCTACACTAGTGGTGCGAATGTCGCAGCCGCGGTCAAGTTGTTAAAATCTGGTCTTATTCCAGAAGATTCATGGGTGGTGGCCCCACTAAATGATTCTGGCTTGAAATATACTCCTGTACCCGACAGTTTAACGTAATATTTATGGACAATGATTTTAATAATAAGGTTTATTCATAGGGTACTGATTTTGTCAATTATGAGCACATTTTAAAGTACTAAATGGTTTGTATATAATTTGTAATAAAAAAATATCTACTTAAATTATTATTTTCATTCATAGCGCCGTATCGAAAGATAACATATAACTTGTTACTTCCTATTAGATTTGGTGATGCCACAAACTACTTAATTTTTTAGAATTTGTTTTATCGTTTAAATAAAAACTTAAAACATCTGTACAATTGAATTGATTAATATTTTGTAATGTTTTATATATTAAAATTAATAATACACTTCTCGTTAATACTTAAATCGTTTTAATCACAATAATTATAACGGTAACATTCGGGTAAGTTATTAATTTTTAGACGTAAATATTAATGGTTACTGATCCTTAATATTTTAATAGACTAACAGAACTAATGTTACGTAATATAATAACTTAAAAATGAATAAATCAGTGGGTAACAACCTCTTTAGGTCTTGGCCTTAGATTTCTGAATCTGTTTCATGATCATTTTTAAATCTAATAGGCAAGTAGGTGATCAGCCTCCAGAGCCTGACACACGCCGTCGACTTTTTGGGTCTAAGACATGTCGGTTTCCTTACGATGTTTTCCTTCACCGTTCAAGCAAATGTTAAATGCGGACATAGAAAGAAAGTCCATTGGTGCACTGCCGGGGATCGAACCGACGACCTCAGGTATGAGAGTCGCACCCTGAAGCCACTAGGCCAACACTGTTCTATATAATAACTTTAGCAATACGATAAAATGGTCTCTGTGGCTTAGTTTCAGTGGTAAAATGCTGTATACTATGAAATTAATTTTTAATTTTAAACTTGCTTAGTATTTGAAATAAGCAAATATTATAAATATTCTCTATCGAATGATAAATAAAAATTGCTCTGTTCCATATAAAGTATTAAGATGTAAAAAAATATTTTATATGCTGTAAGTATTAGGTATATCCTCTTTAAATAACAAATGTATCAATAAAAAATTAAAGACACCGTCGACCGTGTCCGTCTTCGTTGTCTAATTTCGTTTATTTCAAAACAATGGACGAACCGTCCTGCAGGTGTTTTTTTATGTTTTCGCTTGTTTTTGACCATTTGCCGATTTTTATAATGACACTAATCGGTGTTCGTATCGCTCTAGGCATGGGCACTTTTTACATCCATCTAATTATAGGGCCTCCTTGATTTGTGACATATTACGAAGAAGATAAAACGAAGTCAGTCAAACGTTTAACTTGAGATTTTAATTGAAATTTATGGCTGAGTAGAGTTACTAAATATTAATTACAATTAGATTGCAGACGAAGCAGCGTAGTCTAATTTCTATATAACAAATTTATTAGTAATAAAATTTTCGCCATATCTTGTCGTCATTTCAATATTCTATCGAGATGTAACATGAGCCCTTGGGTGAACGTTTAGCTTCAATGACTTTTACCTTAAATCTTCCACAGAAGATAATATATTTATTTATTATTTATATAAAGGGATTAGAGTAAGCACAATACTACGCTATGGAACAGTATTTTCATTTTTCAGTGTTACGAAGTTCTTCTTTCTTTCCTCATTTCTTGGCATGCACGGTTTGTGCGTCAGCCATGTTTCAGGTATATTCTAATCACGTTCAATTGCTTAAAGTTATTTTAGATATACATTATATATTTTTCCGTTGCTATGCTAAACCATATATTTTTAATAATAAACGATGTTCAGTGTAAATTGTCACTCACGTTCAACTTTGTGTCAATTGTCAGTCATATTCCAAGCGGCTTAGCTTGGAATATAGAAAACCATTTATATCTATTATGGTTTATCTTTTTACCTATAACATAAATATGATATTGTATTTTCGTCTATCAAAGAATATGTAAAACATATGTAATGTAATGGTACCATTATATTATATATTATTATGGCGAAATAATAATGTACATTATTCCTGAGTAATATATTTATTTCCAAAATATTTTATAATAAGTATGCCCTGTGAAAACAAAGATTTACACGCTTTGCTAAGGTCTTAATTATAAAATTAGATAGGAACACATTTTTATGTGCAAATTACGTAATATCTCAATATATTTAGCAAATTTGTATTAAAATCTAGACATCATAGAGTATATATATCTCGTGTTATATATGGCATGCTAATCATGACACAAATATTTCACGACGAATTTGGTTTCATCAATCATGTTTTTTTTCGTATCAACTTGAAATTTGACTTTCAAGCCAGTAAAACAAAAGAGCAGGCGGTTCACTAAGTTAAGTGATTATCTCCGCCCTGATAATACGACACCAGGAGATTTCCTGGTTCGTTGCCGGTGCCCTTGAGGTAGTGGTATACTCGTCGGTATTCTAACTCCCAATAGTGATAGCAAAGCTTAACCTATTGCTATATATTGAGGTTTAAACAGCAGCTCTTTAAAAATTTTTTAAAGTAATTTTAGGAACTGCGTCCATACTCTTATCGATACGTTTTGTATGGACTTTCTATATCGTTTTCTGAATATCTGTAGCGTTAATGTCACCTTGAGATCGCGCAGTACAAAAACTCATTATTGAGATCGGAATGGTTGTCGGTGTCGCTATCGGCAGTTACACAGTACGGGTGCAGAATTCCATATTAAAGTGAAAGTAATATTTACCAATGCGACATACAGTTTGTATTGATATATGTACCTATTACTAATACCCGAAGGATTTAAATACTACTAGTGAATGACGTGGTATATAAGCAGTCATAACCAGCCACTATGGTAAATTATTGTGGCTTAAGACAAAGGCATCTAAAGAGTTTGTTTGCACAAATTTATCTTCTCCTCTTCAGGTGATACTTTATTACTAAAGGTTGGCTGGTAACAACTTAAATTACCGGGTATATTGCGCTAGTGTTAACAGCTCCTCGCCGAATGTGATGCCGGTCCACTCCCGTACGTTCCACAACCACAACTCCTTCGTTCTACCAGCCCGTCTCTAAATATCTGCCTTGATATTTGCCCATCATTATAAGCTGCAACAAGTCGTATCGATGATATGCAACTTTCCGTATTTTAACAGTCTGCATAAACTTCACAAATTTTAGAAACTGCTAGTTCACACTCGAGCAGTGTTGTCCTAGTGGCTTCAGCATGCGACTCTCATACCTGAGGTCGTAGGTTCGATCCCCGGCTGTGCACCAATGGACATTCTTTCTATGTGCGCATTTAACATTTGCTCGAACGGTGAAGGAAAACATCGTGAGGAAACCGACATGTCTTAGACCCAAAAAGTCGACGGCCTGTGTCAGGCACTGAAGGCTGATCACCTACTTGCCTATTAGATTTAAAAATGATCATGAAACAGATTCAGAAATCTGAGGCCAAGACCTAAAGAGGTTGTAGCGCCACTGATTTATTTTTTTATTGTTAGTTCACACTTAAATATTTTTGTGTGTCCATTTGTGGAGGCTATATAGCTCAAACAAGGCTCAAGACAGTTCACGGCTAGTTCCTAAGAGTAGGGGAGCCCAAGCGGGAATTATGGGATTTATAAAGCGTGTCAGATTAATATACAGGGGGATACCATGCACCTGGTTAAGTACCTCCACCAAATATAGGCCCCATATATATGGTCGCCCGCCAATGGTAAAGGATCAGACAGAAAGGAATGCAATTTAAATGTAGACAGGTTTCATCGGCCATTAAAAAAATACGGTGCTGACTTTTGCAAGCCTCAAGATGAAAATAAAAATGAAATTTGCGGGATTTATTCAGTCGGTTATTAGCTATCTTGACACGAGTATAGACTTGGATAAAGTACTTTGTTTTCCCATAACTCAAATGCCGTTATCGCTATGCCATAGTTAGATGGTTCTAAACAAGACTGGTAAGTCAGTACTAATTAATTAGAGAAACAAGTCTAAGTAAAGGACCAATCGCCATCCCAAATAATAAATACCTTCAAAGAAATGATGATAAGAAACTACGGGGTAGTTTTGGAGGGGTGTCAAAGAAGTTATTGCAATGCCTTGTCAATAATGCTAGTAGAGTTGCCCTTGTATTTGATCGCTACTTCATACCCTCTATCGAAGATTATGAGCATTCTCTTCGAGGTACTGTAGACGACAAGGAATTCCACATTTCCGGTCCTCAACAAACAAAAACAGCAGTTATTACGAAAGACTTGAAAAATATAAAGTTTAAGGAAGCTGTTGTCAAGTTTTTGATCGATCATTGGGCTGATCAGGAGATGGCATCGATTATCGGCAGTAAAGAAATTTACCTAATATATGATTTGCGGTATGAATGTTTTGTTACTGATAATAAAGTGACACGCATCATTAATAATGAGTTATCGTGCCCTGATCGCGAAGAAGCGGATACGAAGATTAGCATTTATTGCTTGCCAATAAAATGAACATTCTACTATAACTATCAGAACTTCTGATACAATGGTCATCGTGTTAGTGAATATGAAACACCTACAAGTATCAGTAGAAGTCTGGATGGATCTTGGTGTTGGCAATGCACATCGACATCCGCTCTCTACAAAATAAATCGAATTATTTCTTTTATGCATTGTACTGACGAGGCATAAATAAACCTTTGCAATTTCTGATGAATTCATAAATTTTCTTAAAAGCATTTCTGGATTTGGGATCAACGGAGCATAATGTGCAGGATTCTTTATTTCTTCAGTTATTCTTCATCATACAGTATTTTACTTGCCACTTGTATGGGTTGAAATAGTTAGACGATGTCAATCAAGTAAGGATTGCCATCTTCAATAAGACCTACAAGGTGAAAGACAAATCACAACCATTTTCCTTGAGTATCCGGAATTACGATGCGTGCAACTTGCCACCCTGTCAATCAGAGTTACTCCAGCAAGTGATATGCAAAAGATTCATTGCATGTTTATGGAGTAAAGCCCATAAAGCAAAAATTACTAATCTTATACCAACGGACAATGGATGGAAAGTAGTCGACGGAATGTTCGAAATGATCTGGTTTGCTGGTGATCAATTGCCGAAAACTTATGAAGTTGAAGGCTTATCTCCAATAATTAAAAAACACATTATTCATTTTTTTTAAAATATTGTAATATATTTTAATGATTTCTCGTTACAGATTGCGACCAAGAAGAAGAGTTAATTGATCAATTACGGAAATAATTAATTATGAAAAATTAAATGTTATGTGTTAAGAATTTTTTTTAAATTATTTTATAATAAATACAAATTTTCTACGGGAACATCTTTTTTTTTGTTTTTTTGTTAAACAATTAAGTTCAATGATTTAAATGTTTGTTTTTTTTTTAAATTATGAGTTTAGGCAATTCCCTCAGAAATCGTCCGATTATGAGACAGACGTCTAGGACATAAAGAAGAACTATATTATATATCTTAATCTGACGCGCTTGAGTATTTCAAAATGGCGATTTTTTAAATTTGTATTATTATATCAAGATTCATTTCTTCGAAATAGTTAATGAGCCGTTAAGTGTTAAAAGATTATTATCCGCTAAGCTCTGAAAGACGATTACAACAGTTTTATTTACTGTTTATAATATATTATTATAAATCTATACTAATGTATGATTAATTATTTTTGATATCGTGCTGACTGAAAGTTTCTTTTATTTTTCAGTAACACATTAGTCCAACTGTGTTAAGCAAACAAGTGATCTCTAATGGAGTTTGCATTTGCGAAGATTGACCAATTATTTGAAGACGTGCCCTCCGCATCACACCGAGGTTTAGCGTCTTCGGAACTTTGTTAGCTTTTGCAGGGAATCCCAGTATAAACATATTAAAAGTACAGTCAATAAGATGAAGATTCAAACTTCAGATAGGGTCTGAACGTCCTTAACCAAGTTATCTATCAATCAATTTTGGCATACGTATTGAAGTTTGACAGATCTAGGTTTAATAAGCCCTTGTAGAGCGATTCCAGAGCTAACGCACCTTAGAAACCATCAAAGCTAGTTCAGTGGGTAAATCTCACCCAGATTCTAAGCAGAAGAGATTCTGGTATGAGTCGGGTCTTCATACCTCTGCTACATTTGGCGGCATACGTATTGCATGTCCACCTCGATTATAGAATAAGGGCTGATAAGCTGGATGTTGTCTAAGTAAGATCATTCAATAATTAATGATTTTTATATTAACAAAAATTTAAAATTGACACTAAACATTTTAAAGTAACGTAACCACGGCCTATCACGGCCTTTAAAGTAATATAAAAAATACAATATATGAATAAATATAAATATACGTTCATACATTTTATACTATAGACACGTTATCCATTTTAGGCTGTATAGCTTTATAATCATATCATATCATTATCAATCTTTACTGAAATATTGTCTAAGTATTTAATAGTGTGAGGTGATTGTGGGTGAAGAGCTAGACTTAAGTTTTACTAACTCTAGCTCTTGAAATCATGAACGAATTTCTTGTGTTAATTAACCTAATATATTTAACAACGAATCGTTTTTGTCAGCGTGACAACAACAACTCACTTATCTTTTTAAATAATAAAATCTTTAATATTAAGTTGATATTTGCTAACTCATTATGACTAAACGTTGTAGCTGATATTTGGTTATCAACATTTGTCTGTTACCATATCTACGTATTATTTGATATTTCGTTATTACGTAATCTGAAAAATTTCCTAATTAACAAGCGTCCGTAAATATAGGCATTAAAATTACAATTTTACCATATTTTAGTTAGGTTCACATTGTTCAATTATTTTTATGAACGTTTAAACTGCGTAAATACTATATTATATACTTTGGTTTATTAATATTGGTTGCCAGGAAGAGATCGCCCGAAAGCGATAAGGCCACCAGTTGCCCTCCTTTTCATTTAATTATGTCTATGGTATTATATTTATGTATGCAACGAAGTGTTAATAAATAAAATAATAAATAAATATACTATATAGCCTCGTGGTTAAGCAGTTTTATAACGGGATGAATCGCGGGGTATAGGTTAGCGAGTAACACTAAAGATGAATTAAACCAGCAAGTCGCACACAATTTATTTATTTACACATTGTATAACAAAAACATACATATAAAAAAAACCACGTTAAATTAAAATATAAGTTCATAAGTTAGAAGACAAATATATTTACGTCACGCGTTTACTAAAAAAAATATAACAGCTTGTCGAAATTGTCTTCAGACTTGCTAACGTTTTTCTGTACCCAAGTATAGTAAAACGTCAAAAATTTAAATCATTTTTTTTGCTTTTGAGCTGATTTTCTTCTTCTCGCATACCAGTAGGTACCAGTACGATAAGGTCATATCCCGGATCACGCTAGCAAATATATACAACTTCCTCGGCCTTAGCAACTGGGGCCTTTGTGGCAATAGTACCTAACACTGGTCAAGGATACTCCACATAGGTCGGAGGAAGCGCGCAACAACCTTGTACACCATTTAATATCCTGGTTTGCGGTCGTAGATAACAAAATTTAATATAGTCATAAACTCAATGTTTAAATTTCATAGAAACTTTTTACCTCTTTAAAATAATATTGTTGTTCCACAGATGAGTATCTCGATCTATGTCAATATTGACTACGAACACAGAGCATCCTACGTTTGCACAGGTGGCCTCTTGCATATCTAACTTTGATCGCATCTTAAGCTCTTTCATCTTTTTGTTTACTTTCGGCAAAAAATAATTAAATAATGTCTTATTTATTATAAATATATTTTATTATAATGTAAGTATTCAGTATTTACAATTTTCTTAACCTACAAAGTAGGTTATATATTTAATAAATATATAATATAAAGAAAATCAAAACAAGTTTAAAAAGTTTGGTCCCTGTGGCAGTGTAGCTTTAACGCTGGTAGCATTTCCTCGCTGTATTTCGATACTTATTCGTTGAGCCAGGAATGTGCCAGCTATGGGGTCACCGGTACTATCTACTAGGTGCCAACTTAAATCTTTAATAAGCGCCTGTGCACTTGAACCCCACGGCCCAAGAGTCTCTACTCCAAAGGGAATAAATCGAAGTTGGAGGAAAGACTCATATATTTGTGCCGTTTATTATTTTCTGCCTGCTCTGCGGCCCCAGCTTTAATAATGCCCTTAATTTTATATCGTTTAAAATCTCGCTACAACCCTTGCCTCAGATTTCTTTATCTGTCTCGTGGTTATTTTAAATAGGCAAGAAGGTGATCAACCTTCGGTACCTGTCACACGCCGTCATCTTTTTAATGTAAGGAAAGCTAGTTTAATCACGATATTCATCTATATATTACACGCGTTAAACGCGCACATAGATAGAAGAATCAATTAATTGGCAGCCAGGGGTCTCCACCTACGACCTCAGGTATGTGAGTCACACTTTCAAGCCACTTGGCCGACACTGCTGTCTGTTTTATATGGTTTGACTTACTTGCCTTGACTTAATGTCATATAACCCCTAGATGGGGCAGAGGCCGTCCACAGTAAGTCTCCATCGCGTTCGCCTCGCTCCAAGTCTTTCTGTACGACGCCCGGTTTGCTTGGAACAGCCAAACTTCTGCTTTGGGCATTTGCTTTGGGATATAATTGGAATCTCTTCGGAGTTTATGGCCTATCCATTTCCACTTGCGTCGCTTGATCCGCTGGCTTATCGGTGTTTCTCGCAGCGCTTCAAAGTTACTTGTTTATTGTATTGGGCCAGTATATACCCAGAATACGGCAAAGACAGAGGTTGACGAAGACTTGGAGCCGGTGCGGTATGGTTTGGTACACAAACCAGTTGCGTACGTAAATATTTAGATTGTACGATTCATAAAAAAGGAAGACTATATTCGGAGGTGAACCAGCTTTAACCAAGTCTTAAAACCCAAAATTGAATTACTTTCCTAAATCATAGCGCACATGAAACATTATACCTACATATATAAGAAATAATTTATGTAAATTAGAAGACTAACCTAGCGTTGATAAGGAGTAGGGCAAACAAAACGTGCTTTAATTTATTAGAAAAACCTACTTCGTTAGCACCCACCCACTATCCAATAAATAAGAAAATTTACAGATCTAAAAGCCACAGTAATATCCATTTACAGAAACATTTGATTCCTATACATTTATATATAGATAGTTTCTCATCATTTCTGAAGTAAATAGTAGCTTTGGCAACTTTTGTTTCTTTGACTAGTTCTTTAAAAGACATTTACAGCTTAATAAAAACCATTAATGTAATACCAAAAACATTTCGTATAATTCTTTAAAAAATCAACCAAAGACGGAAATGTATCAGCCCGTTGGAGGTATGGATCTTTACAAATTGCCACTATTCATTGATTACTAAAATCTCTGAGTCATTGCATAAATTAATATAAAAATGAATGAAATTGTAGGTACTGTAATGTTGGAAAGGTGCATAGTTGTGATT